AATCCCGGCCCTGTGTAAGACATGGGACACGCTGGGTCCAGGGCGAGCACTTAGGGGCCTTTTCTGCTGCCGCCAGTGACAGAAATGTGCCTGTCCCCTCCCGCCCCCTCCCCAAAGGGGACAGTTGCAGTGTTGGGTTGGGGTCAGGGTGTCGCCGGCAGGATTCAACCACAGACTTGCCATCACCTCCTCTCACCTCAGCCCTCCCGGAGGTTGGCAGGATCTGCAGAACACCCACTGCGGGCACCTCGGGGTCCGGATGTGGCTGTCTTTTCTGCACCCCAACTTAGGGGCTGGGCTGCCCCCGGGGTCAGCTGGGATCCAGTGGGCAGGGGACACGGGGCCCAAGGGCAGTTGCCCACCCTCCTCCCTCCGAGCCCGCCGTCTCCTTTGCTCAAGAGCAAACTCTCTCCTCCTCCTGGGTGATGTCAGGACAAAAGTTCTTTGAAGCAAAATTACTTACCTAATTAGGCGCCGGGGAGCGGCAGGAGGGAGTGGGTGGGGGTTTTTGTTGATTTTTTTAGACTCTTAGCACTGACGCTGTGTGATAAAGTAACTGTGTAATTAGGAATTAGTTTCTCACTCCGGCAAGTGATGTCTGACTTGCGGCCCGGGAGGCAGGACCTCACCTTGTCTTTTTTCCTTGGGGGACCCGCTCCCTCCGCAGTCACCCAGGTGGGAGGAGGAAGGGGTCATTTCGGCTAAGTAGACCTTGCACCCCTACTGTGTGTGCAGTGGGACTGGAGGGGAGGGGTGGCATGACCCATCGTCATCACAGACTGGGCCGGGGGTGCGCCCCACACAAGCTCTGGGGGGAGGGCAACCCCGAAACTTGCCCAATAACAGCCTGCCGGCATTTCTTCCATCTCCTTGCCTGTGCTTTTGGGGGTCCCCTTCTAAGTCAGCTACTGCCCCCCTGGGTCTGCCCTGGCCTGCTACAGGGGACCCCCCCAAGCAGAAAGGTGGGAACAGAGCTTGGGAGCACTGAGTAGAGGGTCTTTAGGAAGGAAGGGGGGCGCGAAGGCAGAGCAGGGACTGTGGGGAAGGGACCCCGTGAGGCTGGAGGGGAGGGAGGGATCTGGACGCGTATTCCAGGAGGAGACTACAGGGCCCTGGGTGGGGGCTGCCCCCTGCATCCACCTGCCCTGACCTTCGCCCTGCCCTGGCCTTCGCCCAGACTCTGCGACTCTGTGCTGGCCAGTCCCCCTGGTCTGTCCCCCTCGCGCTGTGAGCTTCTAAGACACCCCATCACGGAGCTGCGCCTCCCCCCTGGTCCTGCTTGCCCAGCCCAGAGGCTGCAAGTTTGGTTCATCCCCCCTTTCCCCCCTAAAAAAATTGTGCATGAAATACAGTTGAGTCAGGACCTGGGTCAGAAGCAGGACGCTTCCGCTTCTGGAGAGGGTTTGAGCCCCGTCTTGGGCTTCTCCCCTCTTGGGGGGAAGGCTGTCTCTGTCGTCTGCCCTCTCGGGCCTCTCCCCTCCTGGCGTGGCTGCGGGAAACTGGGAGCAGAGCCAATTGGGGGTGTCTGGGGAAGGTGCGCCCCCACGGGGAGTGTTCGGAGGGCCGGTTGTTGGTGGTGGGGGGCATGACAGGGCCAACAACGGGTCACACCTGGTCTGCTTTGGGCTCCCGGAATGGCCACAGCGGGGCGGGCTGCCAGGGAGCCCGTGGGCGGCACAGGCCTGTCCCCATGGCCCGGCTGCAGCCCGCACCCCCGCCCTGCACCCCTGCAAGGCGTCAACCGGGCCCACGGGGACTGCACCCACCAGCACGGCCTGGAAGGGGGAGCCCAGGCAGGGGGCAGGCACTGACCGCCTTGGGGAGCTCCTGGGCCTGGTGAGCGTGTCCTCATTTGTGTCCACATGTGCTCATGCCTGCGTTCCCATGTGTGCTCACATACATGCATGTGGACCCATGCGTGTGCCTTCCGTGTACACGTGCCCACACATGTAACCGTGTGTGCACGAGTGTTCATGTGTGCCAGGGCGAGCCCAGGCGTATTGTGTGTATATGCTTGTGCGTGTGTGTGAGCTCATGTGACTGTGTTGGTCACTGCCCTGTGTGCTTGTCCGTGTGTGTGTGCCTGTGTGTCTGTGTGTCCATGGGTGCCCGTGTCTGTGTGTGCCCGTGTGTACCTGTGTCTGTGTGTGCCGGTGTTTGTGTTTCTGTGTATGCCTGTGTGTGCGTGTCTCCATGTGTGCCTGTGTCTGTGTGTTTGTTATGTCTGTGTGTGTTTGTGTCTGCGTGTGTCCATGTGTACTCATGTGTGTGTCTGTGTGTACCTGTATCTGTGTGTTTGTGTGTGCCCATGTCTGCGTGTGTCCGTGTGTGCTGGTGTCTGAGTGTGTCCATGTGTGCCTGTGTGTCTGCGTGTGTCTGTGTGTACCTGTGTCTGTGTGTCTGTGTGTGCCTGTGTTTCTGTGTATGCCTGTGTGTGCATGTGCCCATGTGTGCCTATGTCTGTGTGTCCATTGTGTCCATGTGTCTGCGTGTGTCCATGTGTGCCCGTGTCTGAGTGTGTCTGTGAGTCCATGTGTGCCTCTGTGTCTGCATGTGTCTGTGTGTGCCCATGTCTGCGTGTGTCCATGTGTGTCTGTCTGCATGTGTCCGTGTGTGCCCGTGTCTGAGTGTGTTTGTGTGTGTCTGTGCCTGCGTGTGTCCATGTGTACCGTGTCTGAGTGTGTCTGTGTGTCCATGTGTGCCTGTGTGTCTGCGTGTGTCCGTGTGTGCCGCCCCCGCAGTGCCTTCGTCACGCATCTCGGCTGCCGGAGCTCTGGCTGTGAAGCAGGAAGATGACAGTTTGCCTCACCCACGCGCGGAATCCTCAGACAGCCCCGCTCCCCGCCCGGCTCTGCGGCCTGTGCTGCCCTCGGCCCGCCCCACCTCTTCTCCTCCGAGTCTGGGGGGGGGCTTGTTAGTTTGTTGAGCCCACTCCTCTGTGTGGGGAAGCATGCGTGTGCTGGTTGTGTGGGTGTGTGCTGTGCGGTGCGGGTGTGTGTGCTGGGAGTGTGTGTGTGCTGTGGAGTGTGGGTGTGTGTGCTCTGGTGTGTGGGTGTTTGTGCTGTGCAGTGCGGGTGTGTGTGCTGGGTGTGTGTGTGTGCTCTGGTGTGTGGGTGTTTGTGCTGTGCAGTGCGGGTGTGTGTGCTGTAGTGTGGGTATGTGTGCTGTGGTGTGCGTGTGTGTGCTGTGCTGTGTGGGTGTGTGTCTGTGGTGTGTGCGTGTGTGCTATGGTGTTTGTGTGTGTACTGGGTGTGTGTGTAGCATGCATGTGTGTGCTGGGCATGTGTGTGTGCTGTGGTGTTCGTGTGTGTGCTGGGTGAGTGGGTGCGTGCTGGCTGGTGTGTGACTGGTGGCTGTGTGTGAGGAGGGGCTCGCAGCCCGGCCTGGAGGATGGAGCCTCCCCTCCTAGGGCTTTTCCTCAGTGGCTCTCCCCTCAGGGGGCGGGGAGGCTTCCCCACAACAGGACGGCTTTGAGGTTGTGTGTGGGAAAAGCCTTCCTTTCCTGCTGAACCCTGGCAGGTGGGGCTGCCGCCTGTTGGGGGCTCTGGGTCAGGGAGGGTCTGCAGTCCCCGAGGCAGAACTTCAGGGTGGGAGCAGGCAGCGTGGGGTTCCGGAGGATCTGTTTTCAGGGAACCACAGAGAGGCCTCTAGGGACCTGCCTCCTGTGGACATCTGGGAAGGCTTCCTGGAGGAGGCAAGCTGCCTTCAAGGACCTGCAGGGCTTGTTGAGGGGTGGGGGCTGTTTGGTGAGGCCCCGAGGAGGGGGTGTGGGTGGCCCTGGTGTGGCTGTGCTTTTGCTTTTCTGCCCTGCTCCAGTGACTTCTCCCAGAGGGTCCTGGACTTTCAGTCATGCTTTAGTCTGAGGACCAGGCAGACGGCTTTCATGATGGTGCCTAGAGGGGAAAACTTTTCTTTTAATCAAATTTTTTTTTATTAGTGTTCACCCCCAGTGGCTCCTGGGGGTGACCTGGGCCATACCACACAGTGTGGGCCCCGGAGTGGGCTTGAGCTGAGAGCCTCCCTGCGTTCAACCCCCTGGAGCCGTCTCCCTCACCCTAGAAAAGAGAATTTTAGGTCACTTACTTATTTCGCCTCCCCACTGTGGCAGTCACACACTCGGTGGCAGTGTCGGTTGTGGTACAGGGGCGTGCCCCAGATCACGCGTGACCCGTGTGGGGTTCGGGCTGTCCTCCTCGGAGCCGTGTTGGGACCCTGCGTGGGGGTAGGGGGGAGTCTGAAAGGACCCCCAGGGATCTGTGCTTAAAGCGTGAGCAGCATCTCTGGGGCTCAGCGTTTGTGGGCAGAGGGTCCCGAAACCAAGGCTCGGGGGGTTGGGGGGACAGGGCTGGGCGCGCGTGGTGGAGGATGTAGGGATCTGCCACCTGTAGATCCTAGCCCAGGCTAGTGGCGTGAGGTGGGTTTGGCTTCTGGTGGGGACCTCTTCCCCGGATGGGTATACTGGGGACCCGCTCTCACCTTACAGCCTTGCCGTCTGCAAGTTCAGTTCCACCCTGCCCTGGACACTCGGCAGGGACGGGGCGCAGGTATTCACAGATCCAGGGGGCTACTTCCATGTTCAGCACCCCAGGGCAGGCTCCCTGGGCTCCCTGTGCTGCCCTCTGGGGCCTGGGGCCAGCCCTTCCTCTTTCTGAGCTGCCTGGGAGCTGGACACACAGTGGACCCCAGGTCTCTGCTCCCTGCCCGGGCCCTGGGAACCTCAGGACAGTCCAGGGGGCTAGGCGGGGCGTGTGGGCGTAGTGGGAGGCAACCACGTCCATCCAGGGCTCCACCCACCCACCCTGCCCACTCCAGGCCCCGCCCACCAGAGCCCCACCTGCTGTAGGTTCTGCCCACACCAGGCCACGCCCATGATGCCCCACCCACCATATGCCCCGCCCACCACGACTCCACCCCATCATAGGCTCTGCCCACACGAGGCCACACCCACCAACGCCCCGCCCACCACAGGCCACACCCCTCATACTCTCCTCTCTCTGCAGGATGGTCGAATACTCCCTGGACCTGCAGAACATCAACCTGTCCGCCATCCGCACCGTGCGAGTCCTGCGGCCACTCAAAGCCATCAACCGCGTGCCCAGTGAGTCCCTTGGCACGGAGCTGCTGCTCCTGCCAGCGCCAGGCCTGTGCCGGCAGGGCCCATCAGTGCCCAACGAATGGGGGCCCAGATGTGGGCACGCCTGGCACTGCCGTTTCCAGGAGTCTGCCTCTCGGGGCAAGGCTCGGGGGTGGGGGGGAGAGGGTGGCCGCCGTGGGCACGGCCGGGGGAGCAGTTGTGCCCGGCTTCACTGGGCCCAGTGACTGACTGAATTCCAGCTCCCCAGCTCCTGCCTGGGAACAGCCGCGCAGCCCTGGGCACCTCTGGAAGGGCCCTGGAATGAGTTGGGAGAAGCGTTAGGGTTTCTGGGGCTGGAGCGATAGCACAGCGGGGAGGGCGTTTGCCTTTCACGCAGCCAACCTGGGTTTGATTCCCAGCATCCCATAGGGTCCCCGAGCACCGCCAGGAGTAATATTTGAGTGCAGAGCCAGGAGGAAGCCCTGTGCATCGCCGGGTGTGACCCTAAAAATAAAAAAAGAGTTATGGTCCCTGCATCCGACCGTCCAACAAGCTTCTCACTGCCTCTTCCATGCGGTGTCCTTACCCTAAGGCCTGGTTCTGCAGTGCCCGTTCCCGGCACACGGGGTCACAGTGGGAGGGAGCCGTCTGCAGGGGAAGGACAGGCCTGTCTGAGCAGCAAAGGTGCCTGGCCCAGCCAGCCCACCCTTTGTCCACTGAGGCTGAGAGAGGCTCTGGCCTGGCTTGGTCCTGCAGCACGCCCTGGGCGGGGCTAGGGGCCCCCCAGCGATCTGAACCTGGCTCTGTCCTGCCCCCAGGTTTCCTCCCGCCTCTACCTGAAATCGAATCCCTTCTTCCCTTCCCGGCCTGGGCCTCAGTTTCCTCCTCCACACACGGGCTGCTCCTGTTTGGCCATTCCTCACCCCCCTTCCCGGCCGCCTCTGGGCACTGGGGGCTGGTGACCTCGGGGATGGACGCAGAGGCCAGGCTCTGACTGGCTTATTTATTCACTTGCTTATTTATCTTGGCCACAGCTGGCGGTGCTCAGGGCTTACTCCTGGCTCAGTGCTCAGTGATTGGGATGCCGGGGATTGAACCTGGGTCTGCTGTGTGCAAAGCGGGTGCCCTGCCCGCTGTATCTGCTCTGGCTGTTTTTTTATTGTTGAATTTGGGGGCTCATTTGGCAGTATTTGGGGGCACTGTCATTGGTGTGCGGACAATCCTGGACCCGGGTGCCATGCCCTGTGCCCAGAGTCCCCTGAGAATGCATGACCTGGCCGGGCCACGGTCTCTTAGAGGTGCCACCTGGGAGGGTCCACAGTCGCCTCCTCTCCTCTCCGTGTCTCAACGTGTTCCAAGAACTCCCAGTTAGTGCTGGCGCCTGCTCTGCCCAGGGTCACCTTCTTGTAGCCTGCCACGCCCATGTCCACCACCAGGTGGCAGGCAGGAGAGTCGGGACCGGGCAGCGTGGGAGGCAGGGGTCAGCCCTGGCCTGGCTGTGGGAGGAGGGGCACATGGCCAGCTGGGGTCCCAGGGGTGCTGGTTCTGGCTTTGGGTCTGGAGCTGTCATGTGTCTGGCGAGAGGGAGGCGGTGTTTGTCTCTGGGCCTCAGTTTCCCCTCTTCCTAAAGGAGTGGAGCTCTGTACTGACCTCAGGTGCCCTTAGCTGACCTGTGGAGGGGTCTTGGGAGGAGCTGGCAGGGGCTCTGGGGGTGGCCAGGGTGAGCCCAGAGGCTGGTTTGGGTGTGTCTCTGCCCTCCGGTCCCGGAAGGTGGCTGATGGTGGTACCCTCCTGGGACCCTCAGCTCCGGCTCTAACCACTGAGCTGCCTCCTGGAACCACAAGCAAAGTACTTCTTTCTGCTGGGAAAGTCCTGTTGAACGGGAGCCTGAACCTCCGTCCCCTGGCCCAAACATGGACGGGACCAGGAGGGCCCAGAGCAGCTAGACACAGGCCGTGGGGCGAGGCTGACCTGTCCCCTGCAGTCCGCTGACCCTGCCCCATGCCCCTTCCATCCCGCCGTCTCTGTCCTTATACCCCCCTGCAGCCCGCCGTCCCTGGTTCAGGAAGCAGAGCTGTCAGTCCCAGCCAGGGGAGAGAGAGCAGCGTCTGGGGACTCGCCCCGTGCCCACGGGCTTGCTCTGGTCCCGGGGCGCACACATCCTGGTAATGGGGACCAGCTGGGCAGCCTCCTCTGGTTCTCAGCAGAATTGGGCCAACAAGCCTCACCTCTATAGAGTGTTGGTGTCTGTGAGGAAGGACGTGCTGTGTGACCTTGGACGGCCGTCAATGTCGCCTTTTGGGGACTTGAGGGGGAGCAGAGGCTGGTCTGGGGACATGCGTGTTGACGGCATCCCTGGCAGAACAGCAGACCCTGAGTCCACCTGGAGAGCCAGGGCTGTCTGTCCAGCACCCTGGAGGGTCCCCAAGCTGCTGGTGGGAGAAAGGCCTGGCGGTGCTGGTGGGGAAGGGAGGGAGGGAGGGAGGGAGGGAGGAGGGAGGTGGGGACGGGAGACTCAATTCCCCAGGGCTGCCACCTATCCAGAAGAGACAGAGCGTGTGTGGGGAACAGCTGGCTGGGACAGCTGGTGGGACCTGACTTGGTACTCGTGAGTGCAGCCAGGACCGTGACAGGAGCGGCATGCGGGAGTGGGGTGGGGGAAGCTGCCCCCACTTCAGATGCTACTTGGCAAGTCAGCAGGGATGATTCTGGGATGCGATGCCAGGCCAAAGAAGTGTCATTAAACCTTCATTGTATTATTGATTTGTTCACCCCTCGATCCATCCACCCATCCATCCATGTATCCATCCATCCATCCATCCATCCATCCATCCATCCATCCATCCACTCATCCATCCACCCATCTATCCATCTGTCCATCTGTCCATCCATCCATCCACTCATCCATCCACCCATCTATCCATCTGTCCATCTGTCCATCCATCCACTCATCCATCCACCCATCCATCCACCATTTATCTCCCCATCCATCCATCCATCCATCCACCCATCTATCCACCATCCACCCATCCATCCACCCACCCACCCATCCACCCACCCATCCACCCATCCATCCATCCACCCACCCACCCACCCACCCATCCACCATCCATCCATCCATCCATCCATCCACCATTTATCTCCCCATCCATCCATCCACCCATCTATCCACCATCCACCCACCCACCCACCCACCCATCCAACATCCATCCATCCATCCATCCATCCATCCATCCATCCATCCACCTATCCATCCACCTATCCATCCACCCATCTATCTACCCATCCATCTATCCATCCATCCATCCATCCATCCACCCACACATACGTACATCCACCCATCCAAGGTAGCATCCACAAGTGGTCATCTGACCACAACAGATGTGGGGTGGTTAAAACAACTCTAGGTGACCAGACCCGGGCTCCAGTGAGTCAACAGGGGTCCCTCGGCTTGAACTTTGAAGGGTTGGGGAAGGAATTTCTGGAATGAGCAGGAATCATTTGGGCATGCAGGTGGGGGACCTTTAATGATTCCAGGGCGTGCACCCGATGGCCTTGTGGAGGGCCCATGGTCCGAGAGGGCGCATAGGGCCCTCCATCCGCTCTCAGACACTTCCCCAGCTGGCCTGGGGCCAGCAGCCATGTCCTCGGTGGCCCGGCCTTATGCTGCTGGCCCGGCCTCCCGAGTGCCCGCTGTGCCCTGATTAGTTGGCATTGGCAGTGCCAGGAGCAGCAGACGGCATCTCCCAGTCGCCCGGTGCCCTCCGCTGACCTGGCCAGGCCCGAGGGTGGGGGCCTCCTGACCATGAGGGTCTGGGGTCCGGCTCGCTCCTGGCATGAGTTCGATGGTTTGCACACGAGCTGGCCAGGCTGAGGGGTGGTGCTAATTGGGCTGACAGTGCTGTGTGCACAATGAACCCTGGAGCTCTGGGCAGATACATGCCAGGAAGCGTACCCCCGCTGCCAGCCCCATCAGGTCTCCTGCAGAGGGTTCAGACTAGGGGTCCCCAGGGAAATGGGGTGAAAGGCTAAGGGACTCTGTGGTTTGCCCACCTGTCATCTGTCCCCTCCCGACTCTTGACCTTAAATGCCCTCCAGAAACTCTAGATCTTTCCGCCCTCCCCCCCCCCCCCGTGGTATCCACTCTCACCCCACACCCCAGCACCTCACACACATATACACCAGGACCCCCAAACTATTTTTTTCTTTTTGGGCCACACCCAGTGATAGTGATGCACAGGGGTCACTCCTGGCTCTTCACTCAGGAATTACTCCTGGCGGTGCTCAGGGGACCCTATGGGATGCTGGGAATTGAACCCGGGTCAGCTGTGTGCAAGGCAAACGCTCTACCCGCTGTGCTATCACTCCAGCCCCATGACCCCCAAACTTTTGTATGTCCAGATGGGGCCTCGGGCCTCAGAGATGGGGACCCTCACACCCGCATGCTGGACTCTGGCTTTGTGGGTGGCCTTGCTGGCGGGGTGACCAGCTGCCAGTGTGTGGTTGCACCTGTTCGCCTCTTGGTGAATTTGACAGAGTCTGGTTTTAGAGAGGGGACTGTTATTTTCTCCAAGCCTGGAGCTTAAGAAAAGTTGATGAGGGGCTGGAGCAATAGCACAGCGGGGAGGGCGTTTGCCTTGCACGCGGCTGACCCGGGTTCGATTCCCAGATCCCATAGGGTCCCCCAAGCACCGCCAGGAGTAATTCCTGAGTGAAGAGCCAGGAGTGACCCCTGTGCATCACTATCACTGGGTGTGACCCAAAAAGCAAAAAAAAAAAAAAAGGTGATGATAAGGAGAGTTAATACAAATGCTCTCTTAAGAAGGCCTGCAAGGGGCCAGGGGGGAGGGGCAGTGGAGAGGGCATTTGCCCGGCTTGCAGATGACCTGGGTTCGATCCCTGGCACCCCTTATGGTCTGAGCACTGCCAGGAATGATCTCTGAGCACAGAGCCAGGAGTAATAAACCCTGAGCACTGCCAGGTATGGCCCTCAAACAAAAACCAATCAAACAAACAAACAAACAACAACAACAAAAAAACCCAACCTTTGGAAATGGCCTGCCTGACGCTGCACCACTCTGCCTGGTTACTCTCAGGCCTTCCAGGAGCTCAGGGTTCGACTTCTTGGTTGCCCTAGTGGACCTCTAGGAATTTCCTTCATTTCATGCAGAAATTAGAATTTCCAATTGGAGAATGTCGGCGTCAACTTTGTGGGATCAGGGCTGGTTCGTGCATGGGCACTTGCTCATTTCCTCTCCACGGTGAGGTTGGCCCTGCCGGTTCCTGTGTGCAGAGCTAGGCCGGCCTGGGCGCTGTCCCTGCAGAGGACGCGGCCTCCGCTCCCGTGTCCAGTGTCGGGAGTGGGGGACAGCGAAGCCGTTGACTCTCCTGCTCTCCTGAGTCGATGACTTGACTCCGGGCCCAGAAGGACGATCAAGGTTGGGGGCGGGTGCTCCCTGTCCCGTGCCCACGCCTCCTCAGAGAGTCCCCAACTAGCTAATCATGCCTGGGCTCGGTGCCTCCACCCCTGGGGCTGCCGTGAGCGAGGCTGGAGGAGGGCACGTGGGGAGACCAGGGGCCAGGCTGCCATGTTGGAAGCCGCGGCTGGTTTTCCAGAGCCTTCCTGAATTCCAGCCTCTGGAGAACAAGAGAATGTAATGATTGAGCACCAAAGGCTGAGCTCGGCGGTGCTGTTCAACCCAGCCAGCTGAGGAACGCTAAGCCCTCCTGGCCAGCACCCCCTCGGACTGAATCCCACCCATTTGTGGATACCCCTCAGAATGAGCTTTATTGATTGACTGATTGATTTAGTATTTCTTTTTGGGTCACACCCGGCAATGCACAGGGGTTACTCCTGGCTTTACACTCAGAAATCACTCCTGGTGGTGCTCGGGGGACCCTGTCAGATGCTGGGAATCGAACTCGGGTCGGCCGCGTGCAAGGCAAACGCCCTCCCCGCTGTGCTATCGCTCCAGCTCCGATGTTAATTACTAATTGGAAATCAGCCCCCGTTGAGCGGGCGGTGCAGGCCCCCACGGAATCCCCGTCATTAACAACCCCTCCTGCAGCACCCCCGGCGTGGGGAAAGGAGGGTCAGGGCCCCAGGCTGTCCCCTCCGGTCTGCCACCCTCACCCCCTCGGCTGCTTGCTCTGTTCACTCAACAAATGGCCCGGCAGACTCGCTCTGGTGGCCTGAGCCAACTGCTGCATCCCAGGGGGAAGAGAAGGAGAAGGGATGAGAAGCTGGGGTTTGGAGAAGACTCTGGAATTTGAAGGGGGTGCAGTGTGCAACCTGCACAACTGTCCATGGCGGCCGAGGCAGAGTCAGTACAATGACTTGGCCCCTGTGAATGAGCTCTATATTGATGCAGTGTGGACATTTCCAGCTCAGAAAGCAGAACCGCCCCCTCTCCCCAATCCCCGCCCCTGGCCCGATCCTTGGGTACAGGATGGGGTGGCTCAGGGGGGCCAGGACTGAGGGGCCCTCATGATTCTGGGTAACGGGCTTTGCATGTCCCAATCCCTGCCCTGGGTGACAGTCAGATGTCACTCTTCCCAGGTCCCTGCAGGGGTCTGCCCAGAAGCCTTCTGGAAACCCCTCTCAGCCACCCCTTCTCCTCCCGGGGGAGATTCCCATCTCTGATGCAGTTCACCAGCTTCTTCTCATGGGAAACAGTCTCCCCGTCAGGAGGGGAAGGGTGTTGGACACGAGCAAGGGTCCCTGGGTTGGGGGAAGTATCAGGTCACTTGGCTGATGTCCCACCACGCGTTGGCCGTGTGCCCACGGCTAAGCCGTGTGCCTTTCCTGCGCCGCTGCTCCAAGATTTGATGGCTACAAAGCATGTCCTGATGGAGACCAGGCTGTGCGTCTCCCTGGCAGGGTCTGACCCTCTGCAGGGGCTCCCTCGAGGCCCACTCACTCATGTAATGGTGACAGCGTCGTTCCCATGGCCCCCAGGAGGAAGGGCAGGTGTCCAGCAGGAGGTGGACGCGGGGCGGGGGGAGGTGCAGTCCGGAGCCCGTGGCTTGACTCTCACTGCTCTCTTCCTCCCATTCTCTCACCTGCTCTTCTTCTGCTTGCTGTCTGACCGTCACCATCTGACTGCCACCATCTGACCGCTGCCATCTGTCACTGTCTGACCACTGCCATCTGACTGCCACCATCTGGCTGCTGCCATCTGACTGTCACCATCTGACCGCCACCATCTGACTGCCACCATCTGATCGTCACTATCTGACTGCCACCATCTGACTGCCACCATCTGACCGCCGCCATCTGACTGCCACCGTCTGATTGTCACTATCTGACTGCCACTGTCTGACCACCGCCACCATCTGACTGCCACCATCTGACCGCCGCCATCTGACTGCCACCGTCTGATTGTCACTATCTGACTGTCACTGTCTGACCACCACCACCATCTGACTGCCACCATCTGACCGCCGCCATCGGACTGCCACCATCTGACCGCCGCCATCTGACTGTCACCATCTGACCGCCGCCATCTGACTGCCACTGTCTGACTGCCACCATCTGACCGCTGCCATCTGACTGTCACCGTCTAACTGCCACCATCCAACTATTTCTGTCTGACTGGCACCACCTGACCGCTGCCATCTGACTGTCGCCGTCTGCCTGCTGCTCCGGCCCCTCGCCAGGCATGCGGGTCCTGGTGAACCTACTCTTGGACACTCTGCCCATGCTGGGCAACGTCCTCCTGCTCTGCTTCTTCGTCTTCTTCATCTTCGGCATCATCGGCGTGCAGCTGTGGGCCGGGTTGCTGCGGAACCGCTGCTTCCTGGAGGAGAACTTCACCATGTGAGTGCAGGCCCACCCTGGAGCCCTTCAGGGCCGGCCCCTGTGCAGGATCATTTGAAGTTGTGGCAGGTGCTCCCCACTGAGTGCTCCCGGTCCATAGATGCTGATTCTTGGTGGTGCAGGATTTAAGAGTGTGTGTGTGTGTGTGTGTGTGTGTGTGTGTTGGGTGGGCGCTTGGCCTGGACCCTCTGATCCAGCACAAAAGGCCTCGTCTCTCTCTTGGGTAGCAGCGAGTCTCTGTGCAGACGGGCCCTCACTGCTCATTCAACTGCTGGCGACACTCAGCACCTGGGGGGAACTGGGCATCTCGGCTGACACAGTAGACGCTGCAGAGGGAAGGACGAAGGGTTAGACCTGAGCAGAGGGCAGGTGGTGGGGTGAGAGGAAGCGGAATTCCTCCCACAACCCTGAGCTCCCCGGGGAGGTGACCCCGCAGACCTGCTGGCTGGGCAGAATGCGCGTCCCTGCAGACAGCGCCCGGCCACAGCTGCTTAAGCAGGCATTGGCGGAGCTGTGAGTGTGGGAGAACTCGGACACCCCAAGGTCCCCGTGGGCCCGAGGCAGGGGATGGCGCCCGCGTGTCTGAACCCAACCGGCTTCCTTCTCCTGTGGATTGGCCACTGCTGTGCTCCAGGTCCAGGGAGGGAGAGTCTCTCCCTCCGTCTTCTCCCTCTGCACACGGCTAGGCCAGCCCGGGTCATGACAGCAGGTGGGAACACTGGGCTGGGAGTCCCTGAGTCACACACAGATGTCGCCAGGAGGCCCTCGAGTCGTGTCCTCTTACCATCGGCCATCATGCCAGTTCGTCTGTTCTTTTTTTTAAAATTTTTTGCTTTTTGGGTCTCATCTGGTGATGCTCAGGGGTTCCTCCTGGCTCTGCACTCAGGAATTACCCCTGGCGGTGCTCGGTGGACCATATGGGATGCTGGGAATCGAACCCGGGTCGGCCTCATGCAAGGCAAATGCCCTAACCACTGTACTATCGCTCTGGCCTTTCGTCTGCTCTTGAGGTTTCCTTCCGCGGACGCCTCCTGTGCCCAGTCTCTGGCCCCCTGCAGAGGGTCACTTGGACTGGGCAGCGTCCGAGTCTCACCTTGCTTGGCTCTGTGAGGTCCACGCCGGCTTCATTGTCCTCCCTGTCCAGTCGATCTGGGCGGTTGCTGGGGGCTGGGGTCCCTAGCTCCGGGGGATGTCCTCTTTCAGATCGGAGTGGGTGGCCTTGCCCATCCCTGGGCCCTCCCTGCCTTTGCAGGGTGGCGAGTGGGCCCGCCCTTAGCGTCCTGAAGTTTTGCCAGTGGTTTTTCCTGGCATGGTGGCACCACGCGTTAGCTGGCAAAGTTGAGAGTTCCTGCGGCCCCATGTTCCGGCCGAGGCTGGCATTGTCTGTCCTTTGGGTCTGAAAGTGTCCAGCACATGCCAGAGATTCTTACAGCAGCTGCATGTGTGTTTTCCTGACCCATGGTGGCGAGAGGCACCTTTGCACAGGCCTGTCCGCCTTTGTCGGCCTTCTGTGAAGTATATGGTGTTCATTTAAAATTGTGTCTCAGGGCCCGAGTGATAGCACAGCGGGGAGAGTGTTTGCTTTGCATGTGGCCAACCTGGGTTCTATCCCCGGCATCTCATAGGGTCCCCCAAACACTACCAGGAGTGATTCCTGAGTGCAGAGCCAGGAGGAACCCCTGTGCATAGCCAGGTGTGACCCAAAAAGAAAAAAAAAATGTGTTTCAGAGGCCAGTGGGTAGGGCACTTGCCTTGCAAGCATCCCACCTGGATTTGATTCCCGGCATCCCATATGGCCCCCTGAGCACCACCAGGAGTGATCCCTGAGTGCAGAGCCAGGAGTAAGCTCTGAGTACCATCAGAACTTGGCCCAAAAACCAAAATAAAATTGTGCTGTCTGTTTTGTTTTTCTTACCTTTTTTTACATATCACGATCACGATCATCCTGTTGTTTGTCGATTTCCTCCAGCAGGCACCAGTAATGTCTCCTTCTTCCTTTTCATTTCATTCATTTCATCATCCTGTTATTCGTCGATTGCCTTGAGCAGGCCCCAGTAACGTCTCTTTCATCCTAACCCTGAGATTATATTCAAGGCTCTTTAGGAGAATGAGACCCATCATTGTTACTGGTATTTGGCATATTTGGTAGGCCACGGGGAGTTTGCCAGACTCTGCCCTGTGGGCAGGCTACATTCGATAGCCTGCAAGTTTGTTCAAAGTAGGAATGAGATAATAAGATGTCATAAAAAGATGTCCTGATAAGGTTCCAGGAGCTGGATTTTATAGTCTCTGAGTCTTGGCCGTTGATGGGATTACATGGCGCCAGGGGGCCAGGTGGTGGGTGTGACCTCCGCCTACTGGAATTTGGAGGATCTGGGTGGAGGATGCTCGACTCCAATCCGAGTAGGCTGGGAGATCTCGGCCCCGGAAACCGCGTGGCTTTGTCCCTCTGCCAGTACCTTCATGTGTGTGGAGAGTGGTCTCAGCATGGTGGTGGCTGGTCCTGGAGGTCTTCGGCTGCTGGAGTCCTGGTCGGGGTGGGGAGGAAAGCTCAACCCGCTCCCCTCCAAGGGGCCCCCGGCGAGGAACAGCCAGGCACGGGGGCAGAAGACTGCCTCCTTCTTCCTAGCCCTGAGATTTTAAAAGAGCCATTTCAATGCTCTTTCAGGATTGGGAGAATGAGACCCATCATTGTTACTGGTATTTGGCATATTGAGTACGACAGGGAAGTTTGCCAGACTCTGCCGTGCGGGCAGGATACTTTTGGTTTCTGCCAGGTTCTCCAAAGAAGAACTGAGTTTTATAGTCTCTGCGTCTTGGCCGTTGATGGGACCAACCTGGCGCTGGCGGCAGCTGGTGGGTGTGACGCCTACCTACTGGAAGAAGGGGGGTCTGGGTGGAGGAGGCCCAGTCCCAATCCGAGTAGGCTTGGAGACCTCAGCCCCGGGACCCGCATGCCTGGGTTCCTCTGCCAGTTCTTTCATGCATGAGGCCCGTCCGGAGTGTGGAGAGTGGTCCCAGCATGGCCGTGGCTGGCTCCGGAGGTCCTCAGCTGCTGGGGCTCTGCTCGGGGTGGGGAGGGGGAGAGAAACTCAACCCTCCCCCCTCTAAGGGACCCCGGTGAGGACAGCCAGGCGCGTGTATGTATACACAGACCGGGATTATAAGTGATGAGCGAGTAGTATAGGTAGTCTGTGCTTGCGGATTCTGATGTTCGCCCCACTTGGCTGCATTTCCCTGTTCTGCTCTCTTAATGAAAAAGCTCCCATTTGTAATCGTAGTTGTAAAGCTCCAGGTTATGAACCAGTTTTCAGCATTGCTTTTGATGTCTAGACAAAGAATTCTTCCTTCTCTTGGGCCATGGAAATATTCCCTGACATTTTCCTTCAGAAGAAACTTTTTTTTTTTTGTGGGGGGGGAATCTCATATTTCTCATTTAGATCTATGTGTTCTGTCGCAAGTAAGGATGACCCTGGGGTGACTTGGGGTGAAGGTCTATTCTCCTAGGGGCGTCGTTTGTCCCAGTGCCTCAGTGGCGAAACCCACCTTTAGCTCTTTAGCTCTCGGGACTGTCACCAGGGTCTAGAGCAGTGAGGGGCCCAAGACACTAGGGTGGATGTGTGGGGTCCCTGTCGCCCCTCAGAAAGGCTGAACCAGCAGGGACTCCAATGCCAGCCCCTCCCACCCTGACACCCTTGCAAGACAGGAAATGATCTCTGTTGTTTTTATTGATGTTCTGCTGTTATCGGTGCGGTGATCAATCAATCTCTTCCTGTGTATCGATCATTTTATTTGATTTTTCAGTGGATTTTCTGTTCTTCAGGTCAGGGGTTCTTCAACATAATGAGTTATAAGAGATGTTAATGGTTTAGATAATCTGTGTTTTATTTGTGTTTGGGGTACAAAAGCTTTATTCTAGAGGAGGCAAGTACGGTTGTAGTTTTTTGTTTTTTTTACTGTTTGATGTTGATTTGGTTTTGGGGTGATTTGGGGTAAGGCCCAGTGGTGCTCCGGGGCTACTCCTGGCTCTGAGCTTGAGAGTGACTTCTGGCGGTGATGAGGGGACCCAAAGCAATGACAGGGGGTCTAACCAGGGTCCTACGCATTGCAAGGCAAATGCTTCACCCCCTCTGGGGCGTTTTTGTAAATAAAATTTCATTGGAACACAGACATACCCTCTTAGCTGTTCCCTGGGACTTGTTGGCATGTTACAGGGGCCAGGTTTTATGAAGGGGCAGAGGTGTTATAAAGGATTGTTCCACACTATCGCTCTACAAAAAATAAAAAAGGTTTTTTTGTCTTTAGGCCCGTCCAACAGAGGTGATGGTGGAGTCACCATCTGCCTCCCTGGGGAGGAAGCTGAGGTCCAGGGAGGGAGAGTGACAGCCACAGGGTGACAGCTCCCCCTCAAGCTGCTGCATAAAACTCAGCACCCAGGGACTGGAGGGATAGCACAGCGGGTAGGGCATTTGCCTTGCACACGGTCAACCCGGGTTCGATTCCCAGCAACCCATATGGTCCCCTGAGCACCGCCAGGAGTCGTTCCTGAGTGCAGAGCCAGATGTAACCCCTGAGCATCACTAGGTGTGACCCAAAAGGCAAAAAAAAAAAAAAAAAAAGAAAACAAAACAAAACGAACAAACAAAACTCAGTACCCAGTAGTCCAGAGGGGAGGGCGCTTGCCCTGCACGAGGCTGACCTGGGTTTGATCCCCAGCACCGCGTGTGGTCCCCTGAACCTCACCAGGGGTGAACCCTGTGCACAGAGCCAGGAGTCGGCCCCGGGTGTCGCTGGGTGAGGCCCCAGACCAAACAGACAAGCAGCTTCTCCGCTTGCCCAGAGAGTTCAGGGGAAACGCAGTGCTGAGGCCCCTGCCGGGCCCTAGAGGGGTGCAGTGCCCCCGCGGCAGGGACGACCATGGGGCGCACGCACCCCTTCCTGCTCCTCCTGGGCCTGACCTGTCCTCGCCCGTCTCCCCCACCCTCCGTGGACAGACACGGGGACGTGGCACTACCCCCGTACTACCAGCCGGAGGAGGACGACGAGACACCCTTCATCTGCTCCCTGTCGGGGGACAACGGCATCATGGGCTGCCACGAGATCCCGCCGCTGCGGGAGCAGGGCCGCGAGTGCTGCCTGTCCAAGGACGACGTCTACGACTTCGGGCCGGGCCGGCAGGACCTCAACGCCAGCGGGCTCTGTGTCAACTGGAACCGCTACTACAACGTGTGCCGCACGGGCAGTGCCAACCCCCACAAGGGCGCCATCAACTTCGACAACATCGGCTACGCCTGGATCGTCATCTTCCAGGTGAGCCGGCCCGGCCACGAGTGTCCTGCAGCCCGGCCCGGCCCCCGCTGGACAGGGACGGGAGCTGAGGGTGTCAGCACCAAGTGACCCCAAAGTGGCTCTTTGCGGGACGGGGGGGGGTGTCACAGGTTTCTGGAGGCAATAGGTCCCAGCTGACCATTCTTTGAGGGGGAGGGAGAGAACTTGGGGTCCCTCTTGGGGTCCCATGGGAACAGTTTGGGGCTCAGGGCCCTCCTGGTGGAGGTGATCACCTGTCAGGAGGCTGGCTGCAGGACACTGTGTGTGTGAGCGCACATGTGTGCACATGTGTGCTGATGCCTTGCCCGGGGGCTCTCGAGTTCACTGTCCTCTCTGAGCCTGAGAGGCCGGGCCAGCACCCTCGGCTGCAAGGGGGGAGGGTGGTGGGTGCCCAGGGCCTAGCGGGGGCAGCGGGCAGGGCAGCGGGCCGGCAGGGCGCTCAGACTGTGCCCCGCAGGTGATCACGCTGGAGGGCTGGGTGGAGATCATGTACTACGTGATGGACGCACACTCCTTCTATAACTTCATCTACTTCATCCTGCTTATCATCGTGAGTGGCGGGGCGTGGGGGGGCGTGGGGGGCGGGCTGGGGGCGTCCTGCGCGTGCACCCCACTCACCCACCACTCCTCATGCTCACCGCCGGGTGCCGCTTCCTTACTGCTTTTCGAGTGCACAGCCCCCCAGACCCTTCTGAGCACCCGTTGTGGTTTCATCTTCCTGTGGAGGCCCCCGAGCTGGATGCCAGGACTTGGGGGGGTGTCCCTGGTCCCCGTGGCTTCTCTCACTGCCACCCCCAAGACAGTGCAGATGAGACCTCGTGGGGACCCATTTCAGGGGAAGCTTCTCTTCTGGTCTGGACGGGGACAAAGTCGGGTCCAGAGAAGTGGGCACGGCTGGGGGCACTTGGCCGGGGGGATGGGGGACTTGGGGAGGGTCTTGCTGTCCCCCACGTCCCTGTCCGGCCCGGGGGCGGGAGCCATGGCATCCTGGGCTGCTTCCTGTTCCTCTTCCGAGTCTGTCCAGTCTCTCTGTTCCTCCTTGCCGTCGGTCACCGTCTCTCCACTTCTGGACGCCGCTGCTGTCCGTCCTGCCCCGGGTCTCGGCCTCCCCTGCGCCCTGATCCCGTCCCCGTGCGCCCCTTATGCCTGGGACCCGGCGCCCTGACCCCCATCTTCATGCGCCCCTGCGCCCTGCGTCCCTGCGCCCTGACCCTGTGCCGGTGCGCCCCGGATCTCGGCCTCCCCCGCGTCCTGACCCCGTCCCTGTGCGCCCCTTCGGCTTGCGGCCCCGCGTCCCGACCCGTCCCGTGCCCTGACCCATGCCCCTGCGCCCCTTCGGCTCTCGGCCCTGCGCTCTGATCCGTCCGCCTATGCCCGGTCCCGCGCCCTGACCCCACCCGCGTGCGCCCCTTCGGCCCGCGTCCCTGCGCTCTGATCCGCATGCGCCCCTTCTGCCCGGGTCCCCGCGCCCTGACCCGCCCCCGCGCCCTGACCGGTGCCCGCGCGCCCCTCCCGCCGCAGGTGGGCTCCTTCTTCATGATCAACCTGTGCCTGGTGGTCATCGCCACGCAGTTCTCGGAGACGAAGCAACGCGAGCACCGGCTGATGCTGGAGCAGCGGCGCCGCTACCTGTCGTCCAGCACGGTGGCCAGCTACGCGGAGCCCGGCGACTGCTACGAGGAGCTCTTCCAGTACGCCTGCCACATCCTGCGCAAGGCCAAGCGCCGCGCCCTGGGCCTCTACCAGGCCGTGCAGCGGCGGCGCCAGGCCGCGGGCCCGGGTCCCGCCGCCAAGCCCGGCCCCGCCGCCAAGGAGCCTCGGCATTACAGTGAGTGGCCCCCAAGGCCCACCCCCGGGGACTCCCAAGTGACACTGGTGTCGCCCGTGGCTGGTCCCCCAGCACCGGCCAAGTCATCTGGGAGGGACATACCCATCTCCCGGGACCTTCGTCCACTCTGCAGTGCCATCCCAGCTGCTGGTCCTGGGCCCTGGGAGGGACCCCCCTCGCCCACCCACCGGTGGGTTCTGCTCCCGAGTCACCCTTGAAAGACACAGGCCAGTGTCAGCCCTCAGCGGGACCACACAGCTGTGGCCACCGCTGTCCTATTGGCATGGGCTCTTGCTGTCCTGGTGGTCAGTGGGCCAGAGCTGTGACTCTGGGGCCCTTGGGGACCCCTGTGAGTGCATGAGGGTCTGCAGGTGGGGCACTCCTGCGCCTATGGGGTCCTCTGGAGAGCTGCCCCCCGGGGCTGCAAAAGGGCCTCCCAGCGCCCCGCCCTCCTCCCTGAAGGGGCACAGGGTGAGTGTGGCCCAGTTCTGGTTCTGGATCTGGTTCTGGTGTAGGACTGTGGGGTGGTTCTGGTTCTTGTTCTGGTCTGATGGGCCGCTCAGTCCTGGGAGTTGAGGGGCTGTGGAGTGAGTGGTTCTTGTTCTGGATTTGGTTCCGGTCAGGTGGGCTTTACACTCCTGGGAGATGAGTGGGTGCAGAGTGAGTGTGTCTTGGTTCTGGTTCTGATTCTTGTTCTGGTCTGGTGGGCTCTGCAGTCCTGGGGGATGAGCGGTTTCAGGATGAGTGTGTCTTGGGTTTGCTTCCGGTTCTGGTTCTGGCCTGGTGGACTGTGCAGCGCTGGGAGGTGATGGGTGCAGAGAGAGTGTCCTGGTTCCAGTTTTGGTTCTGGCCCGATGGACCATACAGTCCTGGGAGACGAGAGGCTTTAGGGTGAGTGTGTCCTGGTTCTGGTTCTGGTTCTTGTTCTGGTCTGGTGGGCCATACAGTCCCGGGAGGTGAGGGGGTTCAGGGTGAGCGTATGCTGGTTCTGGTTCTTGTTCTGGTCTGGTGGGCTGTGCAGTCCTGGGGGATGAGGAGGTACAGTGAGTGTGTCCTGGTTCTGGTTCCGGTTCTGGTTCCGGTCCGGTAGGCTGTGCAGCACTGGGAGATGATGGGGTGCAGGGTGAGTGTGTCCTGGTTCCGGCTCTGGTTCTTGTTCTGGTCCAATGGGCTGTGAAGTTCTGGGAGGTGAGGGGGTTCAGCGTGAGTGTGTCCTGGTTCCGGTTCTAATTCCGGTCCGGTGGGCCGTGCAGCCCTGGCAGATGAGGCTGTCGGGGTGCAGCATGACCAGTGCCGCCTCAGACTCTGGGATGCTGGAATCTGGGGCTCCAGCCCCCGGGGGAGGAGGAGGACCCCCCGGGGAGCGAGAGCCCAGCCTCAACCCTGCCTCATTGGCACCCGGAGGAGGTGAACCCTGGCATAGCACAGCACGGGGCGTGCCCCTGCTACCTCAGTCTCCCCATGGGGACTGGCGCACCAGATTGTAGAATTGGGGGTTCCCGGGAGGCCATGGGGACCCTCATCCAGGAGCTGCCACTCACTGTTCCTAGTGCCAGCCCCTGCCCAGCTCCAGGGGCCTGTGGGCGGGTCTCCGTGCTGTCCCCCCACACCATATCCGGGCCCAGGGAAGGGGCACGGGGGTCCCGCAGGCTGGGGGGCTGTTTGCATGCTGTGCCCAGGCGTCCCAGGCCGTGGGTTCCTGCGGGCGGTGCTCAAGCCCCCTCCCCGCCCCAGCTCTGTCCTGCTCATCCTGGGGGGTCGGGGGTGGGCAGATGTGAGCCTGGCCTGCGTTTCTGGGGTCCCTGCTCCAGAGCAGGCGTGTGCAAGGCTGCTCCTGCTTCTGTGGGACCCCAGAGGGGAGGGGGGCATGGTGTCCGCTGGAGGTGGGCCCCGCAGCCTGGCCTGTTGGAAGAGTGCAGGGCAGAGGCAGGTCCAGGGCCATGGCCGGCCAGCGAGGAGGATGGGGACAGTGGCCGGCTTGGTTCCTGGGGGCAGGGCGCGACCAGCCGCCTTCCCGGACCCTGCTCTGTCCTGGCGGTGCTGTCCCTCCCGGGGAGGTTGAGTCCCCTGTGGTGCCCCAGGCAAGGCCGGGTCCTGGGGGGCTGGGGGTGGAGCGGGGAGCCCGGCCGAGCCCGACCTGGCCCCCTTGCCTTCCAGAGCTCTGCCCGCGTCACAGCCCCCTGGACCCCACGCCCCACACCGTGCTGCAGCCCCTCTCGGCCGTGCTGGCCGCCGACCCCGCCAGCTGCCCCCGTTGCCGGCACGACATGGGCCCCGGCAGCCCCGACTCGGGCCGGGAGGGCTCTGGGAGCTCCCGGGCCGGTGCGGAGGACGACGATGACGAGGCGGACGGCGGCGACGGTGGCCGGAGCAGCGAGGACGACGGAGGGTCCTCGGGGCCCGGGAAGGAGGACGAGGAGGAGCCGGCGGACGGGCCGGCCAGGCTGTGCGGGCGTGTGTGGCGGGAGATGCGGGCCAAGCTGCGCGGCATCGTGGACAGCAAGTACTTCAGCCGCGGCATCATGACGGCCATCCTGGTCAACACGCTCAGCATGGGCATCGAGCACCACGAGCAGGCCAGTGTGGGCCCGGGCGGGTGGGTGACCGGGCACGCCTCCTGCTGTTTGGGACACGCCCCCTGCTGTTTGGGACACGCCCCTGCTGTTTGGGACACGCCCCTGCTGTTCGGGACACGCCCCTGCTGTTTGGGACACGCCCCTGCTGTTTGGGACACGCCCCCTGCTGTTTGGGACACGCCCCTGCTGTTTGGGACACGCCCCCTGCTGTTTGGGACACGCCCCTGCTGTTCGGGACACGCCCCTGCTGTTTGGGACACGCCCCTGCTGTTTGGGACACGCCCCTGCTGTTCGGGACACGCCCCTGCTGTTTGGGACACGCCCCCTGCTGTTTGGGACACGCCCCTGCTGTCCGGGACACGCCCCCTGCTATCGGGGACACGCCCCTGCTACTTGGGACACGCCCCCTGCTACCTGGGACACGCCGCCTGCTATCCGGGACACCTTCCCTGCTGTCCAGGCACACGCCCTACCTGCTGTCCACTTGCTCCCGCCCTGCCCAGCGGCCTGGATTCCCTGGCCGGCCTCCTGGGCCGGCAGTGTCCTGCTGGCTTCTCCCTCCTCCCCAGCTGGCTGGTCGCAGGCTCCGTTCTTTCCCTGGACGTGGCCCCTGAGGCCTCGCACCCGGTTTCTGCCACAGACCTGCAGCCTTTCCGCTCATTACAAAGGAGCCTGGGGAGGCGCCGATGACGGCGTTAGGAGCAGGCAGGGAGCTGGCGGGGTCTAAGGCCCCCGTTGGTGACACGCAGGGATTCTGGGAGCTCAGGGACACCAGGACCAGACGTGGGGACCCTCCCGGGAGACAGTCCCCACCACTGGCACTCCCTGGGTTGAGTTCTCAGGCTCCCAGAGCATGGATTCTCTTCCTCGCTCCCCCCCCCCCCCCAGCTGCCCAGGAGGTGACCCCACGGCGGGCCCAGCCTGGCACTGCCCTGGTGGCACTTGCCTTTGTCAGGTCCCTCCTCACTGCAGGCAGCAGCGGTCACTGAGGGGATCTCCTGCCCGCCCAGCGTTGGCCCCCACGTGGAGTCTGTCTCCTTCTGCTTGGAGCCTCAAAGGATGGACAAATGGGCAGAGAGAGCACGGGGGGGGGGGGGGGGGGGAGGCGCTTGTCTTGCAGTTGTGGCTAAACTGGGTTTGGTGCCCAGCATTCCATAGGGTCTCCTGAGCACACAGCCAGGAGTGAGCCCCGAGCACAGAGCCAGGAGTGAGCCCCGAGCACATAGCCAGGAGTTATTCCTGAGCACATAGCCAGGAGTCATTCCTGAGCACAGAGCCAGGAGCCAGCCCTGAGCACAGAGCCAGGAGTCAGCCCCGAGCTTAGAGCCAGGAGTGAGCCCTGGGCTCCCCGCCCCCCACCTGCCCAGACAAAGTAGGGGAGGGGCCAGGGTTCTGGCTCTCATCCCAGGTGCCCTGAAGCTGTCCCTTGGGGCCCTCGCCCCTGGCTCTTTGGGGGGCCCTGTCCACCTCAGGGTGACCACGGCGGGAGCGGCAGGGGGCCAGGGAGGGCCGCCGGCTCTGAGAGTGGCCCAGCCCTGCCCTCCGGCCCTCACCCCAGCACCCTCCGCACTGGCCCCAAAGGCCCCTCCCCTGCCTCAGCGGAATTCATTCTTCTCTTGACACCTCCTGACCACTGGGCCTTTCTGCGCTTTCTCCAGCCACAGCCTCTGTCTGTCTCTGTCTGTCTGTCTGTCTGTCTGTCTGTCTTCCGCCTGCCTGCTTGCTTGTATTCCTGCCTGCCTGTGTCTGCCTGCCTGTATTTGGTCTGTCAGCCTGCCTGCCTGCTCCTCTCTCCCTCCCTCTCTCTCCCTCCCTCCCCAAGTCTTTCCCTCTCTCTCTCTCTCTCTCTCTCTCTCTCTCTCTCTCCAGCTGTCTCGCCTCTGCCAAGGTTATGACTTTTCCATCTGTGTCTCTGCTTCTGCCTGTCCCTCAGTTTCTGTGTCTATCTGTCCATCTCCTTCCACCCCTTCCCACCCCTTAGTGCCCCCGCTGGGTCTCTATCTGTACCCGTCTGTCTGTCTGTCTTTACCCAGCTGTCATCTGTCTGTCTGTCTGTGCCCCAAGCCGCCAGTGTCCCAGGTACGCTGCTGCAGGAGGAGCCGTGGGAGGTGGTGGGGTGGGGGTGGGGGCAGGCCGCGCCCTCTGGGAGCTGCAGGGAGGGGGGCGTGCAACCCCAGGTGCCAGTTTTCGTGCTTGTTGTCAGCCCTGAGCCAGGCGCCCCCTGGCATGGCAGAGTCCCTGGGGACCACTTGTGGGTGCAGTGCTGGCGAAAGGGGGGTCTTTGCTCGCTCACTGGCCAGGAGTTGTGCTACGCCTCGGGGGCTTGGAGGCCGGAAGTGGTTCCTGGCTTTCTTCTCTCTCCCTGGGGGTCCACATCAGGCCCCCACCTGGGACTGGGCTGGGGGCGGGGGCGGGGGCTGGAGGGGTCTGGTGGGCGGGAGCCTTTGAGGCTGAATATAGTTTAGTCTCTGCCAGCCTGAGGTCTCTGGTGAAGGGCCATCTCCTCCAGGAAGCCCTCCCGGCCACCCTGGCTTTCCTTGGCACCCATGGACTGTGTGTTGGCTCTGGTGTGGGGCTTTGCCGCAGAGGCCAGACTCCCGGAGGGTCCTGCTGGGGGTCAATGATGAAAGGGCGGGGGGCAACGAGTGCAGGAGGAGAGCAGCGCAGCTGGTGCCCGGCTCGGGGACCCTGGACTTCCGTCTCCTCACCTGCAGGACGGGGCATCTGCGGTGTCCCCCCAGGTCGCTGAGCTCGGGGCCCTTCTCCCCCAGGCAGTTGGGGGTCCCGATCCCACGGCGGCAGCAGCGGGCCCACCCCCACTCCTGGGGCCGCGTGGCATGGGCCCCCACTAGGCCCCCCAGGTCTGTCAGATGGCCCGTGGTGCAGGGGAGGCCAAGACTCCAGCGCCAGCTCGCCCGGCTCAGTGCTCCCTTGGGCCGGGGAGGACAGCCTGGCCGGGCGGGAGGGTGGGCACCAGCCGTCAGGGCTAGTGTTGGGGGCCAGGGGAGCAGATGGGGCGGGGGGAGCGGCCTTAGACCCCCCTCTGCTCCTCACCTGCCAGGCCGGGCCTGCGCTCAGCCCGTCTCCTTGTCTGCAAACCGAGTTGCCGTCAAGGGCCTGGGGGCCGGCAGGTGGCTCAGAGCAGGCCCCTGAGAGACCACAGATGGGCGGAGGTGCCCAGCAGGGCCTGCCCACCTTGGGCGAGCTTCCCAGCCTTTTTCCACTGGGGAGACAGCTCCCGCCGGGTCTCCCTTCGGCCTGCGTGTGCCCCACCCGTGACTGTGGGTGGGGGCTGCACAGACCTTCAGGACAGTGTGTGCACATGCGTGTGTGTGTGTGTGTGTGTGTACATGAGTGTGTGTTTGCAAGCATGCGTGTGTGTGCATGAGAGTGCATTGTGTGTGTTCACACACGTGTGTGCATGTACACAGATTCATGTGCACACACATGTGTGCCCACGTGTGTGTGGGTTTTTGTGTGTGTGCATGTTGGGGCTGGAGGATCCCCCCCCCCCCCCGTGAGAACACTGACCCGGTGGGTGGCAGAGCCAGGCCTGCCCACATCCTGACCACCCTGGGGGGGCGCTGAGGGACGTGTGGGGGGTCCCTCGCTGCCCCGGCTGACCGGGTGCCGCCGTGCCCTGCAGCCTGAGGAGCTGACCAACATCCTGGAGATCTGCAACGTGGTCTTCACCAGCATGTTCTCCCTGGAGATGCTCCTGAAGCTGGCGGCCTTCGGCCTCTTCGACTACCTGCGGAACCCCTACAACATCTTCGACAGCGTCATCGTGGTCATCAGGTGCCTCGGGGCGAACGACCACGGGCCTGGGTTCCCAGGGGGCAGGGAGGGATGGAAAGAACCTTCTGGAACTGGGAGGCGGAGATCAGGGCTCCCGGTGGGGCTCATTTCACGGGCCTGAGTTACTGGGGGCAGGGAAGGATGGAAAGAACCTTCTGGAACTGGGAGGCGGAGATCAGGGCTCCCCATGGGGCTCGTCCCACGGGCCTGGGTTCCTGGGGGCAGGGAGGGACGGAAAGAATCTTCCAGAACTGAGAGGCGGAGATCAGGGCTCCCCGTGGGGCTTGTCCCACGGGCCTGGGTTCCTGGGGACAGGGAGGGATGGAAAGAACCTTCTGGAACTGGGAGGCAGAGATCAGGGTTCCCTGTGGGGCTCATCCCAGGGGCAGGGAGGGATGGCAAGAACCTTCTGGAACTGGGAGGCGGAGATCAGGGCTCCCCATGGGGCTCGTCCCACGGGCCTGGGTTCCCGGGGGCAGGGAGGGATGGCAAGAACCTTCTGGAACTGGGAGGCGGAGATCGGGGCTCCCCGTGGGGCTCATCCCCCGAGGCCTTGGGTGTTGGCGTGGGAAGGAAAGTCCGCCGGGAGGGAGGTCGGAGTGGACGGTGGTCTCCGCAGCGTGTGGGAGATCGTGGGGCAGGCGGACGGCGGCCTCTCGGTGCTGCGGACCTTCCGGCTGCTGCGGGTGCTCAAGCTGGTGCGCTTCATGCCCGCGCTGCGGCGCCAGCTGGTGGTGCTGATGAAGACCATGGACAACGTGGCCACCTTCTGCATGCTGCTCATGCTCTTCATCTTCATCTTCAGGTGAGCCGCCGCGGGGCCTGCGAGGTGGATGCGGGGCCGGGGGAGGGCAGGGGGCAGTGCTCGGCCTTGGGTGCGGCCCCCAGGGTGGCTCCGGGCTCTGCAGGGGGGACACGGGCGAGTCCCGTGAGCCACCCCATCCCGCCCCCAGCATCCTCGGGATGCACATCTTTGGCTGCAAATTCAGCCTCCGCACGGACACGGGCGACACGGTCCCCGACCGGAAGAACTTTGACTCCCTGCTCTGGGCCATCGTCACCGTGTTCCAGGTGAGCTGCAGGGCTGCGGGTGCGAGGCTGCGCGTCCCCACGGGCTCAGTCCCTGTGTCCTGAGCGAGTGTGTCGTGGTTTGGGGCAGGGGTGGGGGTGCCGAGGGGATGGAGGTGGGGAGTGCCCTGACCCGGGGGGGTGCTGGGTGTGCCCCGACACAGCTCTGTGCCCTCCCTACCCCCCCCCCCCCCCGCTGTGGGTTCTCCCTGCTCTGGCCCAGCCCCCCAGGCTGAGCTGTGACTGTCCCCCCCAGATCCTCACCCAGGAGGACTGGAATGTGGTCCTCTACAATGGCATGGCCTCCACCTCCCCTTGGGCCTCCCTCTACTTTGTGGCTCTCATGACCTTCGGCAACTACGTGCTCTTCAACCTGCTGGTGGCCATCCTGGTGGAGGGCTTCCAGGCGGAGGTGACCGCGCCCCTGGTGGTGGGAGCACCGGAAGGGACCCGAGGGGGGATGGTGGGGCGAGTGGAGCTTGTAGCGGGCAGCAGGGGTTCCCGGAGAGGGCGTCTCAGTCGGTGAGGTCGTCAGCGCCAGTCACAGGAGTGTGAGTAGAGGCTGCCTGGGCTCACAGCCTCATCCTCTCTGGCCCCCTGAGATCTGGGTTCGAGTCCCGCTTGCCCCATTTTCTGAGGCTCCAGGGCTCCGTGTCACTGGGCTGTGGTGGTTTGTAGTTGAGTGTCTCCTGAGCGTCTCACCTTCCTTTGCTTTTTCTTTTCCTTCATTTTAAAAAAAAAAGAATTGCTTGGGGCTGGAGCGATAATACAGTGGGGAGGGCATTTGCCTTGCACGCGGCCGACCCGGGTTCGATTCCCAGCATCCTAGATAGTTCTCCGAGCACTGCCAGGAGTCATTCCTGAGTGCAGAGCCAGGAGGAACCCCTGAGCATTGCTGGGTGTGTGACCCCAAAAAAGGCAGGGAAAAAAAATGAATTGCTCTGTGAGCCTTGTCCCGGCAAGGCCTGTGCTCATCTGAGCCCTCCCCCCCACCCCCACCCCCTGCTTTTCTGAGACGCGTTTTCCTTCCCCCGCTGTAAAACGGGGCTGAAAACACCCATTGGGAAGTTCTGGTGGGGGCGGGAAGGGCAGGACCCCCGCGCCAACGCAAGGGACGGTCTCGCAGGGTGACGCCAACCGGTCCTACTCGGATGAGGACCAGAGCTCGTCCAACATGGAGGACCTGGAGAAGTTTCAGGAGGGCCTGGAGGCTGGAGGTGAGCTGCCCCCGCACCTGCTGGCTGGCCAAAGGCGAGAGAGAGCAGAGGGTGGGTGACGGCCTTGGGCCCTGGACTCCAGCCCCCCGGGGCCACCTGCCCCCAACCTGCCAGTGACCGGTCTGCGAAGGAGTGCTCCAGGCGCCAGGTCATCTGCAACTTGGTCCTCAGACAAGGGCCGCCTGCTTTCCACAGAGGCCAGGCCCCCCCTGTCCCCTAAGCCTGCAGAGAACCCTGCAGGGGTGGGGGGAGAGGGGCAGAGCAAGGTTGGCCCATCACGGGGGGGTTTTCTGGGGGAGGACGACTCCCAGAAACCCTCTCTGTCTGCTCCTGTCCCTGTCTGTGTGTCTGTCTGTGTGTTTGGTGGCTCTTTCTGCTGTCCTGCCCTGTCCCCTGTCTGTCCCGCCCCCCTCCCCCCGTCTCTCTCTCATCCCTCCAGATCCCAAGCTCTGTCCCATCCCCATGACCCCCAATGGGCACCTGGACCCCAGTCTCCCTCTGGGTGGACAACTCGGCCCTCCTGGGGCAGCTGCCCCCGCCCCCCGCCTCTCGCTGCAGCCAGACCCGGTGCTGATGGCCTTGGGCTCCCGCAAGAGCAGTGTCATGTCTCTGGGCAGGCTCAGCGCCGACCAGCGCTCCCTGGTGAGTCCTAGTGAGGTGCTCCCAGTGAGTGCTCCCTGATGAGTCCTTGTGGGGGTGCTCTGTGTGAGTGCTCCCTGGTAGTCCTAGTGGGGTGCTCCGGTAAGTGCTCCCTGGTGAGTCCTAGTGGGATGCCCCCAGTGAATGCTCCTTGATGAGTCCTTGTGGGGTGCTCTGGATGAGTGCTCCTGGATGAGTCCTTGTGGGAGTGCTCTGCATGAATGCTCACTGGTGAGTCCTAGTGGGATGCTCCTAGTGAGTGATCCTTGATGAGTCCTAGTGGGGTGCTCCGGGTGAGTGCTCCCTGGTGAGTCTAGTGGGATGCCCCAGTGAGTGCTCCCTGGTGAGTCCTAATAGGATACCCCTAGTGAGTGCTCCCTGTGGAGTGCTCTGGGTGAGTGCTCCCTGGTGATTCCTAGTGGGATGCTCTGGTTGAGTGCTCCTTGATGAGTCCTTGTGGGGCGCTCTGCGTGGATGCTCCCTGATGAGTTCCAGTGGGGTGCTCCGGGTATATTTTCCCTGGTGAGTCCTTGTGGAGTGCTTCAGTAAGTGCTCCCTTGTGAATTCTTATGAGGTGCTCCAGGCGAGTACTCACTGGTGAGTCTTTGTAGAGTGCTCAGGAGTGCTCTTTGCTGGGGTGTATGCTGAGCTCCCCGCAGCAGGAGCGCCCACCCGTCCTGCCCTTGACTGGGGTGCAGGCTTAGGGCACCAGTATCTGTTCAGCAGAACTGGTCAGGGCCTGTGCCCACGGCATTCCCGGATGCCCAGTGGGAATGAAGGAACGAACGAATGAACAGCAGTGCCAGTGGCTCTGGTGTAGAGCATCGGGTAGATGAGGAGCCAGATCCCAGCTCCAGTCTGCTCCTACCCAGCTGTGTGGCCATCCCTCTCTCAGCCTCAGTTTCCATTCCTGCCAAATGGGCGCGTGCCCTAATCGGCTGTCCCTTCGGAAGAGGGACCCACGGCTGTGGACACAGGCACGCCGGGCTTGGTCCCTCCTGGCCTCCGCCCTCCCGTGCAGGCTGCGTTGGCGCCCGGGGCGCGCGGGGGTGGGCGCGCTGACCCAAGCCCCCGCCTTGCTCCCAGTCCAGCTCCCGGAGCTCCTACTACGGGCCGTGGGGCCGCAGCGGGGCCTGGGCCAGCCGCCGCTCCAGCTGGAACAGCCTCAAGCACAAGCCGCCCTCGGCCGAGCACGAGTCCCTGCTGTCCGCCGAGCGCGGCGCGGCGCGGGCGGGCGAGGGGCCCCGGGAGGAGGGGCCGGCCCGGGCCGCGCCCCCGCACGCCCCGCACGCGCACCACGTCGCGCACCACGGCGCGCACCCCGCGCACCGGCACCGCCACCACCGCCGGACGCTGTCGCTGGACACCAGGGACTCGGTGGACCTGGCCGAGCTGGGGCCGGCCGCGGGCGCGCATCACCGGGCGGCCTGGAGGGCGGCGGGGCCGGGGCCGGGCCACGAGGACTGCAACGGCAGGATGCCCAGTATCGCCAAGGACGTTTTCACCAAGATGGGTGACCGGCATGACCGTGGGGACGACGAGGAGATTGACTATGTGAGCACCCGAGGGGGCCCCGGTTGGGCCCGAGGAGCCTAGAGGGGCAGGAGCGTGGCCAGGGCGTGGCCAGAGCCGGAGGCGGGTCTGGGGGCGTGGCTAGGGCGTGTCCAGAGCAGGAGGTCAGCCTGGGGAGGCGTGTCCAGGGGATGTCCAGGGCAGGAGGTGAGCCTGGGGGCGTGTCCAGGGTGTGTCCAGAGCAGGGTATGTCTAGAGCAGGTGGCCTGGGGGCGTGTCCAGAGCAGGAGGTGAGCCTGGGAGCGTGTCCAGTGCAGGTGGTGGGCTTGGGGGCGTGTCCAAGGCGTGTCCAAGGCGTGTCCAGACCAGGTGGTGAGCCTGGGAGCGTATCCAGAGCTGGAGGAGGGTCTGGGTCGTGTCCAGGGCATGCATGTCCAGAGCAGATTGTGGGCTTGGGGGCGTGTCCAGGGCGTGTCCAGAGCAGAACGTGAGCAAGGGGGCGTGTCCAGAGCTGGAGGCAGGGCTGGGGGCGTGTCCAGAGCATGTCCGGCGCTGGAGGCGGACTTGGGGCATGCCCAGAGTTTTGGGCTTGGACATTTGTCCCAGGTGGTGCGTGGGGAGGGCAGTGGGGGGCTAGAGTCTTGCTCAGGACTTCAGGTGGGTCACAGTGGGCCCCCAGCTGGTCAACGCTGACCTCCCCGCTCCCGCGCTCTGCTTCCCAGACCCTTTGCTTCCGAGTCCGCAAGATGATTGACGTCTACAAGCCGGACTGGTGTGAGATCCGCGAGGACTGGTCGGTCTATCTCTTCTCCCCCGAGAACAGGTGGGCAGGGTCGGGCCGGGGGCTGGGTGGGGGGTGCTGCCTGTCTGGGCTGGAGGAGGGATTGCGGTCCAGGCTCTGGAGCTCACCTGTGCTGCCTTCCTGGGCGGGTCATCTCATTCCTGCTGTTCTGGGGCTGCCTACCCCGTGGGAAGAACCCTCAGGTCACCCCTTAAGTCGCCCGGGTGCTCTCACGGGCAGAGGGGCACCCCAGGACATCCTGGATGGGTGGCCTCCCGCAGACTCTGGAGACAGGTGGTGTTGGGGTGGCTAAAGTGGGCAGTAAAGGGGGGTAGGGGAGCCCAGGAGTAAGTAAGGTGCGGCGGGTGGCAGGGGGGTCTCTCTCTGGCTGGAAAAGCCCGGGGGCCAGGGCCAGGGACTTCTGTGGGTGTGTGGCCAGGGGAGGCGCTCCAGGTGGGCAGCCTGAGCCCAGCAGAGTTGCTTTCTGTTCTTTAGTCTTGGGGGAATAGGAGAGAGCCTCTGGCGGGCCCTCCTGGATCAGGGTGTCTGATCCTGTGCCCTCCTGACAAGTGGACAGTGCCCCATCCCATCCCTCCAGGTTCCGCGTCCTGTGTCAGACCATCATCGCCCACAAACTCTTTGACTATGTGGTCCTGGCCTTCATCTTCCTCAACTGCATCACCATCGCCCTGGAACGGCCCCAGATCGAGGCTGGCAGCACCGTGAGTGGCTGAGTCCCGTGGCCAGGGTGCCAGGGAGAACTCGGGGCACCTGGGTGGGGCGGCAGGAACTCGCTGGCGCTGGGGACGCCTCCTGGACTGTGCCGGGCTCTGAGCACCCAGGCCCATGGCGGCTCCCACTCTTTCAGGAGCGCATCTTCCTCACTGTGTCCAACTACATCTTCACGGCTATCTTCGTGGGCGAGATGACCCTGAAGGTAGCTTCCAGTTTCTCCTGAGACCCCTACCACCCCTCCAGCCCCCTCCCCCCCCCAGCACTGGGGTCCCAGCCCCGCCCATGCGCAGTCCCCGCCCCCAACTTGCTCATCATTTAATTGCCCATCAACCCACGGGGTGGGGGGCACCCATGCTGAGTGTGAGTCCGGGGATGGGGCTTCTGGGAAGCACAGACCCCTGCTCACACTGATAATCTGCTGGAGGTGTGGGGAGCAGGGACCCTTCAGCAGCTGCTCACTGGGCCTTCTGTGGCCACCAGCAGCTCCTTGGGCTCCCTGGTGCAGGCGCTGACGGCTGCAAAGCCCTGCCTGGCTCCCCTCAACCAACCAAACCACCTGACCCTGCCCATGACGGACACTGCCCCTTCCCGACTCTCCTAACTAACCCTGCCCACCTGCCCCCTTCTTGGCACCGCCCCTTGACGCTGCCCCAACTAACCCCGCCCACATCTCCCCGCCCACAACAGACCCCGCCCCTTTCAGATCCCCTCACTAACCCCACCCGCCTGACCCCGCCCTTCTTGGCACCACCCCATGACCCTGCCCCCAACTAACCACGCCCACCATGCCCCGCCCACAACAGATTCTGCCCTTTCCCCAGCCCCATAACTAACTCCGCTCTTCCAGCTCTCGCCACACTAGCTAACCCCACCCCGCCCCTGCCTGACCCCGCCCCGCCTGGCCCCACCCTCCTGCCTCCGCCCTAACTAACCGCGCCCACCTGGCCCCGCCCTTCCTGACCCCGCCTCTTCCTCTCTCACCCTAACTAACCCCACCCGCCGCTGCCCTGCCTGGCCACGCCCCCTGACTTTGTCTTAACTAACCCCGCCCCCTCAAGGCCCCGCCCCTAACCAGCCTGGCCCCGCCTCCAGGTGGTCTCGCTCGGCCTGTACTTTGGGGAGCAGGCTTACCTGCGCAGCAGCTGGAATGTGCTGGACGGCTTCCTCGTCTTCGTGTCCATCATCGACATTGTGGTGTCCGTGGCCTCTGCTGGGGGAGCTAAGATCCTGGGCGTCCTCCGGGTCCTGCGGCTCCTGCGCACCCTACGACCCCTGCGGTGAGCGCCCCTAGCCCCGGACGGGGACACCCGTGCGCCCACATGCGGGGGGGGGGTGTCCAGGTGGGCCTTTCACTCTGGCTCTGTGCAGCCCCCCAATCTGCTCACACTGTGAACCACCTGAGTGCCCCGGCCAGCTGTAGGGAAGCCCGGGGCCGCTGGGGGTGGGGCATATGCTGGGAGGGAGGGTTTAGACACCCCGGAGGCCCCCCACAGTCTAGACCAGGATGGGGTGTGGACCCCCAGGGCCCCAGGTGGGAGTCCTGGATGATGCTCCCGCCTTATGCCAAAGCATGGGCTTGCTGGTCCCTGTCAGCCCTCCCTGCCTCTGGGCAGATAGGGGGAGGGAGGCCATGCCCAGTCTGGACTGTGGCCCTGTTCCTGCCCGCAGAGTCATCAGCCGGGCGCCCGGGCTCAAGCTGGTGGTGGAGACGCTCATCTCCTCCCTCAAGCCCATCGGCAACATCGTGCTCATCTGCTGCGCCTTCTTCATCATCTTCGGCATCCTGGGGGTGCAGGTGAGGGCACCCCGCTGGGTGGGCCCCGGGGGCTGAGGAAGAGGCCCCACTCTCCTGCCCGCCTGAGTGCTCCCGGAGACCCCAGCTTCCCCAGCTCTGTGGAGCATAGGGCCAGGCAGGGGGCAGGGGACAGGACAGCCCTGGGGAGGTGACCTGACCTGCCCGGCAGGGCTGAGCTGGGCTCTGTTGTGAGCTGTGGAGAGGTTGGGGTGAGCATGGCGCCTCCGGCCCAGGCAGGATAGAACCGGGTCGGATGGAGTCCAGCCCAAGTGCCCATCCAGCCCAGGAGCCGAGCACAGAGGGATGGGGTCTACAGAGGGGGCATCAAGCATGTGACAGGGGGTGGCCGAAGGGACCTAAGGAAGCTGCAGCTGAGGTCACAGACACCCCATGTCGGGGTGAGAGACCCACAGCACATCTGCCTGGGCAGGGGTCTTCTTTGGGGATCATCTGCCCCTTCTGGGTAGCTGACGGCCGGGCTTGCGTCCCTGTAGGGTCTCCCCTTGTCCCTCTCTCCCTCTCTTGGGGCTCCAGGGAGCAGAGCAGGGTGCAGGCCTCAGCCCGGCCACTGCCCCGACCTCAGCGGCCTCTGGGGACAGGGTCTCTCTCTCCTGGCCTGAGCGGGTAGGCGAGGATGCAGCCAGGCGTGCTGAGGAGGTGCCCCCCGGAAGCTGGGGAGCGGGTCAGCCTCTCACTGCTCGCCGCGTCTCTCTGGCAGCTCTTCAAGGGCAAGTTCTACCACTGCCTGGGCGTGGACACCCGCAACATCACCAACCGCTCTGATTGCGTGGCCGCCAACTACCGCTGGGTCCATCACAAGTACAACTTCGACAACCTGGGCCAGGTGCGCCTCCGGGCTGGAGTGCAGAGTCTGTCTGCATCCTGGGGGTCCTGGGGGAGGGGCCTTGGTGCCCCACGGGAGTCTGGGGACCAGCCTGACCCGGCGTGGCTCTGTTACTGTGACTGTGACTCCGGGCCTCAGTTTGCCATTTGTGAAAGGGGAGCGAGACATGAAAGCACAGCAAAGCCTGCCCTGTATTCAGTGGGGTCCCTCACCTTCTGCCTGCTCCATTGCACCCCAGGGGACAGCCCCCAGCTGGGAAGCCCAGACCACACCCCACAAGCCTCCGGGTGCTCCAGAGGCTTGGTCTGGCCAGTTCACAGGGGTGTGGGGGGCCAGGGGTGTGTGTGTGGGCAAGGACCAGGGAAGGGGGTCCAGGCCTGGGGTGGGTCTTCAGAGATAGTGACCTTTCCCCCCTCCTGGGGTGGGGAGTAAGTGGGGACCCCTTTGTGAATTTTTCTCTGATCCCTGACCCCAGCCACAGGCCCCGCCTCCCAGCCAACTTGAGTAATGTGCTGGCCAGGCCCTCTGTGTGTGTGTGTGTGTGTGTGTGTGTGTGTGTGTGCGCGCGCGCTGAGGTCACCTGCCCAGTGACTCTCAAGAGGGGCCGCTGTGCAGTTCTTTTTTCCCTGGCATATGGCGCGGACTCTGTGACGCTTCATGGACTGCATGCTTGACTGTGCCCCGTGGGAGCACTGTGTTGGGAGGCAGGGCCATGGAGAACCACCGCACCCTCACCCCGTGGCCCCCGCCCCCCCCCCCATGCGTCTTGCAGGCCCTGATGTCCCTCTTCGTCCTGGCATCCAAGGACGGCTGGGTGAACATCATGTACAACGGGCTGGACGCTGTCGCTGTGGACCAGCAGGTGGGCGTGGCAGGGCCAGGCCCGGCCCCAGAATTGGGTGGGTGGATGGGGTGCAGTATCTTTGGGGCCTGGTGGTCTGTAAGGATCCCACTGTCCAGTCTCACCCACCTCTGGCCTCAACACCTGCCTGGTGCTGCTCTGCAGGGGGGGGGTGGTGCAGAGTCAGCGGGGGGTGGGCACCATGGGGCAGAATATGGGGAGGTGAGGGATGGGTTGGGGTGGAGGGAGATGGTCACACTCCAGGTGGGCAGGTACAGAAGGCAGGAGTTTGGGGTGGTGGCACCCAGGGTAGGTGTTAGAACACTAGAGCAAGTTGCAGAGCTATTGGGGTACCGTGGGGGTGAGGATGGATGTGGGAGTGAGTTTTCTCTCCCGAGTCAGCCTAAGAAGAGGGGTCCACTGTAGGGCTGGGCAGGCTGTTGACCCGGGACTGGGCAAAGTCCCTCCCCCACTTCCTTAACCGCCCCCTGCTCCTCCAGCACACATGTGCACACAGGCATCCCGTAGGATCGCTCTCTCTCTGCTGGCTGACACGTTTTTGAGTGGAAGGATGACTGGATGGATGAGTAGATGCGTGAGGCGTGGGCGGATGGACAGACGGGCGAGTGGCAGGATGGGTGGGTGAAGTGGGCGGGAGGGTGCATGGCTGGATGCCAGCCAGATGAATGGATGGGGAGTGGATGGGTGTGTAGATGGGTGGGTGGGTGGGTGGGGGAAGAGGGAGAATGAATGGATGTGTAGATGGGTGGGTGGGTGGGTGGCCAATATGGGTAGACAGATGAATGCATGTGTGTGTGTGAACACCAGTGTAGGTGGGTGGGTGGGTTAGTGGGTGGATGGATGGAGGTTGGGTGGATGGGTGGGTTGATTAATTGGTGTGCAGATGGGAGGACAGTGGTGGTCAATGGTGGATAGATGGGTTGAAGGACAGATGAATGGAATGTGTGGGTGATTGGAGGTTAGTGTAGGTGGATGGATGGTGGGTGCATGGGGTGGGTGGACTGATGGGTGGGTGAATGGATGGTGTGGGTGTATGGATGGATGTCTAGGTGGGTGGGTAGGTTGATGGATGGGTGGATGGATGGATGGATGGATGGGTGGGTGAATGGGTAGGTGGATAGATGGGTGGGTGAATGGGTAGGTGGATGGATAGATGGGTGGGTGTGTTCGATGGGTGGGTGAGTGGATGGGTGGGTGGATGGTTGGTTGGGTGGATGTGTTCGATGGGTGGGTGGGTAGGTGGGTGGATGCGTGAGTGGGTGAATGGGTAGATGGATGGATGGGTGGGTGGATGAATGGATAGATGGGTAGGTGGATGGATGGGTGAGTGGATGGTGTGGGTGGATGGATGGGTGGGTAGGTGAATGGTTGGGTGGGTGGATGGATGGATGGGCAAGTAGATGGATGGGGGGTGGGTGTGTTGGATAGGTGGGTGGGTGGACGGGTGGGTGGATGGCTGGACGGGTGGTGGAAGGGTGCCTGGATGAATGATGACCTGTGGAGAGGTGAATGCTGGGAGTTGAGCGGGTGAAGGCCGGGTGGGCGAGTGGACAGGCAGTGCTCAGTGGGGCGGGCGAGAGGAAGCCGGGTGACCCTGTCTGTCGGAAGCCGGAACTGAGGAATCGGCTGGCCCTTGCCCCTTCCCTACCTGCCCCCCACCCCGGGGTAAGCAGGCTCTGCCCCGCGCCCCATCGGGCCCCGCCGCGGGGGGCCTCCTCCGCGCATGCGCGAGCGTCCCGCGCGCGTCCTCTGCTCCGCAGCCGGTGCCCAACCACAACCCCTGGATGCTGCTCTACTTCATCTCCTTCCTGCTCATCGTCAGCTTCTTCGTGCTCAACATGTTCGTGGGCGTGGTGGTGGAGAACTTCCACAAGTGCCGGCAGCACCAGGAGGCCGAGGAGGCGCGGCGGCGGGAGGAGAAGCGGCTGCGGCGGCTGGAGAAGAAGCGCCGGAGTGAGTGGGGGGAGTGGGACCCCCGCGCCGGGCCTCGCCCCAGGCCACGGCCACGGCCACAGCCACGGCCACGGCCACGGGCCGCCTCCCGGCCAGCCACCCTCGGCACCCCCGTCTCCCTGTCCGGGCCCTGGCTGGGCGGGGCGGGGCGTGGAGTGGACCCCCGCCTGTCTGCCCCCTCCCGCCGGCCCACGCCCCCCAATTCGTTCTGGCCCCCCTCTGACCCGCGCCTGCCCACAGAGGCCCAGCGGCTGCCCTACTATGCCACCTACTGCCCCACCCGGCTGCTCATCCACTCCATGTGCACCAGCCACTACCTGGACATCTTCATCACCTTCATCATCTGCCTCAACGTGGTCACCATGTCGCTGGAGCACTACAACCAGCCCACGGTGGGGGTCCGGGCGCATCCGGGAAATTTGGGGGCGGGGTGGGGGGCCCACACTGGTGCTCCGGGCTGGTCCCTGCCCACAGATGGGGTCTGGGGAGACCATTGCTGGGAGCAGGACCGTGGGGGTGACCTGATCGTGCGAGGGGACATGGAGCAGGGGGTGTGCTAGAGCCCGCCAGGGTGGACAGGGGGCAGGGGGCTCCTCGGGTGAGGAATCAGTGGACCATCTTGGAACAGTGAGCAGGAGTGTTGGGACGTGAGGCAGGGAAGCTGCCTGGCGGGCCGGCACAGGGGCACAGGCGCCTTTAGACTCGCAGAAAAGGCACCAGCAGCAGGACTCCTGTTTGCCGCCTCTTTATGGCACGCCCAGCCTGGGCTGGCCCCGTGGGTGATTCCTGCAGCCGCCTATTAGGGCAGGGCACCCCGAGAAATGAGCTGTGAGCCCCACGCTCTTCAGTCAGAGGCGGGGCCCGTACACAGACAGTGGGTGTGATATGCCTCCTGCCCGCCCCTCCCAGGGGCCCCCAAGCCCCCCCCCCACAGTCTCTCAGATCTGAATTCCGACAGGTGGGGAGATCCAGGAAGGTGCTACCCCCCCTTCCCCGCCTCCCCATCATGCACTATCGGGCCTTTAAGGTTCTTCTCTTCTGGGAAGGACTTTCCTGAGCTCCACCTGCCTCCCTTCCTCAGAGCCTGGGGCCAAGTACCCCTTGGTGGTGGTGGGGGGTGACAGAGCATGCCCTCACCTGATAGTACTATTGTCATTCCCAGTTGATGAGGGGGAAGTAAGTTTCAGAGAAGTGGGGTACTTGCTCCTGGTCACTTGAAGAAGAAGGGGGGAGGGAGGGACTGGAGCAATAGCACAGTGGGGAGGGCGTTTGCCTTGCACGCAGCAGACCCAGGTTCAATTCCCAGCATCCCATATGGTCCCCTGAGCACCGCCAGGGGTGATTCCCGAGTACAGAACCAGGAGGAACCCCTGTCCATCGCCAGGTGTGACCCAAAAAGCAAAAAAAAAAAAAGGGGGGATGGAGATGCTGATTCAGGGGTCTGAGCTCTGGCCCTAACCACCACCCCACACTGCCTCCATGGAGTGGGTGCCTGGACCACAGGGGAGGCGGGATGCAGAGGAGATGGCTCACAATCGGTGGGAGGGAGCAGAACAGAGGCGCTGAGTGTGGATGGACTGAATTCAGGGGCAGAGCCTGATGGGGGATGAGGGGGATCAGGCCTGGACCCGGGTCATGCCTGTTCTCTCGGTCCACCCCAGTCCCTGGAGACGGCCCTCAAGTACTGCAATTACCTGTTCACCACGGTCTTCGTGCTGGAGGCGGTGCTGAAGTTGGTGGCCTTCGGTCTCAGGCGTTTCTTCAAGGACCGGTGAGCGGCCAGGCCCGGCCAGGGCAGCGCGGGGTGGGCTGCGGGTCAGGGAGAGCCCGAGCGACAGTGAGTGTCTGGGCAGTGCCGGCCAGGGGGTCCCAAATGTCACCAACTCTGGACAGGAAGTGGCTGCACTCCCCCTCCCAGCCCTCCTGGGTTCGGGCTGTGCCACGCCCCAGTGGCCCCTAGAGAGGGCCCTAATCATCGAGGCTCAGAGAGGGTCACAGACCAGCCTGGTGCCACTCAGCGGGCAGCTGGCTCAAGACTCAGAGGCAGGGGCGGGAGGATAGGACAGCGGGGAGGGCGTTTGCCTTGCACGTTGCCGACCCAGGTTCAATTCCCAGCATCCCATAGGGTCCCCCGAGCACCGCCAGGGGTCATTCCTGAGTGCAAAGCCAGAAGTCACCCCTGTGCATTGCCGGCTGTGACCCAAAAAGAAAAAAAATGAAAGACTCAGGGGCAGAGATTCCTCCCTGCTCGCAAGCCTCTCGGGGCGCAGGAAGGGGCCATTCGCAGTGGGCCCTGGGAGGGTGGGCATAGCTGGGCCGTGGGGAGCAGGGGGTGGGTTCCTGCCCTACACCTGGCGACCTGGGTCTGATCCCTGGCACCCGGAAGGTCCCCTGACTGCCCCCCAGGAGTCAGCCCTGAGCACCGCCACTGTGCTCCCCCCTCCCCTGAAACAAAACAAACACAAACTGCTGAGAGTGGGGACGCTTCCCCCCGCCCCCCGCCCAGGTGGAACCAGCTGGACCTGGCCATTGTGCTGCTGTCGGTCATGGGCATCACGCTGGAGGAGATCGAGATCAACGCGGCGCTGCCCATCAACCCCACCATCATCCGCATCATGAGGGTGCTGCGCATCGCGAGGGGTGAGGCGCCCGCCCCTGCCCCCCGCCCCCCTGCCGTGGGCGCTCCAGGACACAGCCCCCATCTCCCGCCCCGCCTCCTATTAAGACTGGCCGTGGGGTCCGGTCCCAACTCCTGCCCTCCTCCTCGGGACTCTCACCCCAGCGTCCACCCCTGACCCACACTCACTCCGTCCTCTGTCCCCCTGGGCTTACGGCAGAGCTCTTACGCACAAGCAGACACACATAAACATGCACACACATTCACACACACGCCTATGCACACACTTGCAGGCACACATATAAGTACACACATACATGCACATACAATGCACGTATACACACATGTGCAAACACATGCATGCATACACACTTGCACACACAATGGACACATGCACACACACATGCAAACACATGAATGCACACATATACACCCAGCATACAAATGCATGCACATACAATGCACATATACACACATGTTGCAAACAAACACATGAATGCACGCACACGTGCACACAATGGACATATGCACACACACATGCAAACACACTTGCCTACACACATACATGCATGCACACATGAACATACAATGGACATGCCTACATGGCACCTGCAGGCACGTATGTGCAAGCACTCACGCATGCGTGCACATGCATGTGCGCCCGCCCAGCGTTGCCATTGGTCTCGCCCGCAGTGCTGAAGCTGCTGAAGATGGCCACGGGCATGCGGGCGCTGTTGGACACGGTGGTGCAGGCGCTGCCCCAGGTAAGGTCAGGGGTCAGCCGAGCTGGATCTGGGGAGTGCAGGGCGCCCCACTTCCTTCTCCCGTGCCCAGAGCTGGGGCAGGGTCCGGAGACGCATCTGGAGTCCCCGTCCCTACTGTGCGCCTGGCCCCGGGCTGGCTCTGAGGACCCACATTCTGCACTGAACCCCTCAGGCGGAGCTGGAACAGCCCTGGCACTGTCCGGGGAGGGCCGTGGGCTGGACCTTGAGGGGCAGAGGCAGAGGGAGGCGGTGCTGCCGTGACCTCGCCACTTCCAGCAGCCCCGCTCCGGGGGTCCTGCAGTGCCTCCTACCCCAGCCCCCCTCGGGGCCCCTGACTCATTCGTGCATGTGACTCGCCTCGACTCCAGCAACTTGAGGGATCTTGGATAAGAGACACAGAACCACATGCTCAGAGTGTGGGGGGGGGGGGGACGGGGGTGGGTGCAGGGAGGACAGAAGCCCAGGGAGGAGGGAGGGCAGCTCAGCTCCGCTGTCTTGGGCGGGGCCGGGCAGTTTGGGGTGGGTTTGGGACAGCCCTGCATGCAAAGCCAGGGGGTGCCCATTGAGAGAAGGGTCATCTCCGCAGCGGGATTGGCTCATGGGGAGCGTGGGCTGGTGTGGGCAGGCGGGAAGTGGGTTGCCCCTGGCCTCCAGCTGCCCCTCCTGGGCTCTGAGCCCCACCCCTTGGGAGTCTGGACTCAGCTCTTTCCTCCACCCTTTTTTTTTTTTACTTTTGAGTGGTGCTCAGGGCTCACTCCTGGCAGGTCTCAGGGGTGCTGAGGATCGAACCTGGGTCTGCGGCAATGCCAGGCAAGCGCCCTCCCCACTGGCCTGTGGCTCCAGCCTGAGACCACCTCTTTGTGCCTCAGTTTCCCTCCCTCTGAAGTGGGGTCTGGCCCCCGTGCTCGCTTCGGAGGGTGCAGTCGAGAGCTCATGAAGCACCCCCGAGGCTCGGGCCGGGAAGTGCTCGGGAAGTGGGGGCTGTGGGGTGCACGCCAGCCTCCTCCTGCCGCTCCCTACACCCAGTATTGCCATTTCCTCGAGGCATTGGGTGCTGCCCTGGGACGACTCTCGGAAGGAAGGCTGCTGCAAGGACCCACGGGGCAGGGGTGAAGGCTGGAGGGGGAGGCTGGAGGGGAGGCAGGGAGGCTGCAGGAGGCCGCGGGAAACTCCTCACTCAGCCGTCTCTCATCTCACCAAGCTTTGGTGTCATACGTGGCCTGCGGCTGAATCCACCTGGCCGTGCTCACAGAGAGTAGGGCCCCACCGGGCGCAGGCCGGACTGCGGCGTCAGTGACTCCCGGCGCTCACATGGCAGCGAACAACGCCATCATCTCCCGAGTCTCCCGGGCTCGAGGAAGATGCTGCGTTTTCTAGGGCAAAACTGTGCTTGAGCCTTATCTTGGCGCAGGGAAAGGCCGTCTCCAGCGGACGGGAAGACTGGAAATAGGTCTGGAATCTGGGACGCTCTGCTCCCGCAGGAACTGCGCGATGTAGGCGGCAGGGCTTGAGGAAGGCCCACAGTCCTAGATGCATCCTGCAACCCTCCCTTCTCTCAGGGGCCATTCCCTGTGCTGGCCTAAGGGGGCAGATCCCAACTAAATCCCAGCCTTGCCTCTGCTCTCCGCGACTTTCCAGATCCCCCGAGGACAGGGATAGGGCAGTGCAGTAGTCATCACCCTCAGCCCACATTCCAGTCTGCTGTGAGGAATCCAGGGAGACTTCCTGGAGGTGGTGGCATTGTTGTCAAGACTTTCCTTTCCCCTGTTGGTCTCTCTATCCATCCCGGAAATTATCTTAGCTAGGCAGGGGTTATGGAATAACCATTGTGTGAATAACCTGGGTCTTGTCTGCTGGATATGAATCCCTGTCCCCGCTGCCTGTTACCTGCGTGATTCTGGTCTAGACACTTCACCTCTTTGGTTCTCTGGAGAGTTGAGGGTGGCAGGAGGGGAGAGAGACGGTCTTCGGGCTAAAAGCAGGTGTCTCAGGCCTCCATTAGGTCCGGGCAGGGGGCAGACTTGGACACGGGGCCATGTGAAATGTGCCAGTGGCCCCGCCCTGCCTCTGCAGTGCTCCCCACCCTCCTGCTCTCTCCCCCAGGTGGGTAACCTGGGCCTGCTCTTCATGCTGCTCTTCTTCATCTACGCTGCCCTGGGGGTGGAGCTCTTTGGGAAGCTGGGTGAGTGATGGGGGCTGAGTGACCCCTAGGTGATGGGGATGAGGCAGGGCCCAAGGGTCTCGGTGGGGTGGAAGACAGACAAGACAGCTTCGGGCCAGAAACTGCCCTCATGGTGGACTCTGGGGGTGGACAGTGGCCCCCAGCGTGCGGCCCCCAGCCCGTGTGAGCTAGCAAGCTGTCCATGGGCAGGGCATGGGCAGGACTGGCTCGGCTGTGGGCGGGGCTGCAGGCAAGAGTGGGCGGTCCGAGGGCGGGGCCATAGCCGGAAGTGGGCGGGGCCACCGCCAGCTGTGGGCGGGGCCTAGAAGAGCTGGGTGTAGAAAGCGGCCCTCATCACCTAAGTCCTAGCTGTGTGCCACTTCTCGGAGCCTCGGTCTCCCTGTCTTTGGAATGGGCATACATGCATCCCGAGGGGTGTGGTAGGGATTCCAGGAGGACGGAGGCAACCAATTCCACGGGGCCTCCCGGCTTTGGGGGTCCCTGGCCGCATCTCCACTGGCTGACACCCCGCCCCCTTTCTTGCAGTCTGTAACGACGAGAACCCGTGCGAGGGCATGAGCCGGCATGCCACCTTCGAGAACTTCGGCATGGCCTTCCTCACGCTCTTCCAGGTGTCCACCGGCGACAACTGGAATGGGATCATGAAGGTATCAGCGGAAGGGGCCGGATTGGGGGAAGAGGCGGGCTGGCACCCAGAAGGGTGCTTGGGGAGCTGACCCTGCCCGCAGAGGGTGCAGGCTCAGAGAAGCAGAGGCTCTGGGGGCAGGTTCACCTGGGGGGGGGGCAGGTCAGGCCCTGAGGATGCTGTAAGCAGGACTGGGCAGTCCTTGGGTGTGGCCGTGACAGTGGGGCCGGACCTTGAGCAGAACTGGGAGGTCCATGGGCAAGGCCATAGAAAGATTGGGCAGCCTGAATAGGGCCATAAGGAGAACTAGGCGGTCTGTGGTGGGTGCCAATAAACAGGACTGAGCTGTCCATGGGCAGGGCCATAGGCAGGACTGGGCAGTCTGTGGGCGGGGCCAGAGGTGGGAGTGGGCGGGGCCTCAGAAGTGGGCGGGGCTTCAAACAGAAGTGGGCGGCCCGTGGGCAAGGCCACACGCAGGAGCAGGCGGGGCCTCAGGCGGAAGTGGGCGGGGCCACCGACCGGAGTGGGCGGTCCGTGGGCGGAGCCACGGGCAGGAGTGGGCGGGACCACAGGCAGGACTGGTGGTCCGTATATAGGGCCACAGGCAGGACTGGGGCTCCCATGGCCGGTCTGTGGCCGGGGCCTGTGGCCGCCCCCTGAGCCCGCCCCGCTGCCCGGGCAGGACACGCTGCGGGACTGCACCCACGACGAGCGCAGCTGCCTGAGCAGCCTGCAGTTCGTGTCGCCGCTCTACTTCGTCAGCTTCGTGCTCACGGCCCAGTTCGTGCTCATCAACGTGGTGGTGGCCGTGCTCATGAAGCACCTGGACGACAGCAACAAGGAGGCCCAGGAGGACGCCGAGATGGACGCCGAGCTGGAGCTGGAGCTGGCCCACGGCCTGGGCCCCGGCCCGCGGCCCCCCGCCGGCTCGCCAGGGGCCCCCGGCCGAGGGCCCGGAGGGGCGGGCGGCGGGGGGCGACCCCGAGGGCCGCCTGTGCCGGCGCTGCTACTCTCCAGCCCAGGTGGGCGGCGCGAGAGGACACGGGGTCGCCGAGGGCGGGCGCTGTCGGGCTGGAGGGTGACGAGGGCAGACACTGCCTGCCACCTGTCCACGCCCCACTGTCAGCTCCGTTGAAGGGGTGACCCTGTGACCAGGGGCCCGGGCCTCGCGGCGCCCCACCCACCCCACCCTCCCGGGACCCTGCCGATAATCCCGCCTGTCCCCACCCCGTCCCCGTCCGCCTAGGAGAACCTGTGGCTGGACAGCGTCTCTTTAATCATCAAGGACTCCTTGGAGGGGGAGCTGACCATCATTGACAACCTGTCGGGCTCCATCTTCCACCATTACTCCTCACCGGCCGGCTGCGACAAGTGTCACCACGACAAGCAGGAGGTAAGGGTGTGGGCAGGGTGGGCACCGGGCAAGGGAACAGCGAGAGCCAGAGGGCAGCACCGGGCTCCCGGGTCTGGGGACAGGTGGGTCGGGGTTGGCGGCCCAGCCGGCCCCGCCCCCTCTACCCAGCCCTGTTGGGTCTCCCCCTCTGCCCAGCCGGCCCCCAGTGACCAGCGTGGCCACCCGCAGGTGCAGCTGGCGGAGACAGAGGCCTTCTCCCTGAACTCTGACCGCTCTTCCTCCATCCTGCTGGGTGACGACCTGAGTCTTGAGGACCCCCTGGCCTGCCCTGCTGGCCCTAAAGACTCCAAGGTGAGCGGCTGTGGAGGGCCACTTCGGCTTAGTCCCCAGCAGCGGTGCCCGCCAGGTGCTGGGCCTCAGGAACGAGGGGCTAGAGCATGAAGCCCCCCCTTCCCCCGTGGAGTGTCCCTCCAGGCCCCACTGACCCTCCCTGCAGCTACCGAACCGGTTTTGTCCAGGTCTGCCTGGCTTCTCGCGCTCAGAGGAGTCCATGGGGCACCGGCACTGGCCGTGGGGTGACCCTTTGCTCGCTCTGGTTTTTCTGTCCCCAGCTCTTTGCATGGAGGAAGATTTGACCCGTTTCAGGCATGAGAAAATGAGCTTTCTGGGCAGGGCCTCAGGAGGTGGCCTCTGGGTCATCCTGTGGCTCAGGCCACGGGGTCTGGCAGCTGGAGGGACCGGTGTAAGGGACCCTGGTCCGAGGAGGGAGTCTTGACCCCTGGGGTGTTTCCACCAGCTCAGACAGGGCAGCCCCCTCCCTCGCAGCTGATCACTTGCCCCTCTCAGCCCTTCAGCTTACCCCCAAACCCCACAGCTGCTCCCCCCAGGGTATTGGGGTTCCAGAGCCCCGGCAGGCCACTGTGGGCACGGTCTATATTGTGGAGGCCTGGAGGGCAGCCGCCCCTGAGGAACTGAGGTTGTCTTGGCGGAAGGAACTGCTGCAGCTTTGGGGGCCGGGCCCAGCAGGAAGGGCTCCATTCCACGGGGACTGCTGTGGGATTGCCTCTCTGGGCTGCTGGAGTCAGAGCCCTCCTGTACTGGCCGGGCCTGTGCCTGGAGCCTGACTGCAGGGCCACGATGCTGTGGAACCCTCCAGGCTTGGGGACCCACCAGGAGGATGGGCAGGGCAGCCTTACCTGCTCTGGGTACCAGGGAGGGCTTCCTGGAGGAGGGCTGTGGGCGGGTAATGACCTAGCCACGAGGGCTGGTCTCTATCCCTCTCACCCTGGCCCCTTTGATGCAGGGTGAGCCAGAGCCCACGCGAACAGGAGACCCCGGTGAGTGCGTCTTCCCCCTGCCCAACACAGCTGCATCCTCGGACCGCGAGAGCTGCCTGTGTGAGATGGAGCCCGTCCCACTCAACCCTGTCCGTGCCTGGCTGAAGCAGGAGAGCAGCCACGGTGAGGGCAGTGCCCCTGCCTGTCGGAGTGAGGGCCCCCCCAACTGACCAGGAGAACAAGCAGGGGAGGCGATCCCCCTGGCTTGCTATGACTGGTGCAAGCGCAGGAGCCAGGATGGGAGAGGAGTCACCCAGATGGAGAGGGGAGGAGCCAGGACGGAGAGAGGAGGGGCCAGGACGGAGAGGGAGGAGCCAGGCTGGAGAGGGGAGGAGCCAGGGTGGAGAGGGGAGGAGCCAGGATAGAGAGGGGAGGGGCCATAATGGAGAGGGGAGGAGCCAGGATGGAGAGGGGAGGGCCTAGGATGGATGGGGAAGGAGCAAGGATGGAGAGGGGAGGAGCCAGGATAGAGAGGGGAGGGGCCAGAATGGAGAGGGGAGGAGCCAGGACGGAGAGAGGAGGGGCCAGGACGGAGAGGGAGGAGCCAGGCTGGAGAGGGGAGGAGCCAGGATGGAGAGGGGAGGAGCCAGGATAGAGAGGGGAGGGGCCAGAATGGAGAGGGGAGGAGCCAGGATGGAGAGGGGAGGGCCTAGGATGGATGGGGAAGGAGCAAGGATGGAGAGGGGAGGAGCCAGGATAGAGAGGGGAGGGGCCATAGTGGAGAGGGGAGGAGCCAGGATGGAGAGGGGAGGAGCCAGGATAGAGAGGGGAGGGGCCATAGTGGAGAGGGGAGGAGCCAGGATGGAGAGGGGAGGAGCCAGGATAGAGAGGGGAGGGTCCAGAATGGAGAGGGGAGGAGCCAGGATAGAGAGGGGAGGGTCCAGAATGGAGAGGGGAGGAGCCAGGATAGAGAGGGGAGGGTCCAGAATGGAGAGGGGAGGAGCAAGGATGGAGAGGGGAGGAGCCAGGATAGAAAGGGAGGGTCCAGAATGGAGAGGGGAGGAGCCAGGATGGAGAGGGGAGGGGCTAGGATGGATGGGGAAGGAGCAAGGATGGAGAAGGGAGTGGCCAGGATGGGAAGGGAAGGGTCAGGCTGGGAAGGGGAGGGGCTAGGATGGAGAGGGGCGGTGCCAGGGTGGAGAGGGGAGGGGCCAGGGTGGAGAGGAGCGGGGCCAGGATGGGTGGGGACTCAGGTGCCAGCCCTGGGTGGGAGCTTCCTGTTGAACTTCCCAGAATCCCAGTGAAGGGGCCATGAAGGGGCCGGAGGTGACAGCTCGGCTTATCCTCCACCGAGAGGGAGGAGCGTTGCGTTTCCTCTCGAGCTGGACTGAGATGGCCCCTGAGCTCCCCCGCAGGGTGAAACTGAGCAGCAGATGCGGGGTCTGCGGTACCCCTGGGCTGGGTGCACCCACGCCCTGTCCTGAGCATCCTTCGTGCTCTGAGCGTGTAGCCGGGCTCTGGGCTCAAGGACAGCGGGTGGAACGGGGGCTCCCCCTTCTCCTCGGGTCCCCTTGGAGGATCCTCCTGAAAACTCACAGCCTTTGAAGGGACAGGCTGGCGGAGGGCCAAGTGCCAGCCTGGCCGGTATCCGGGGACGGAGCCCTCCATCACCGGCCGCCCCTGACCCCAGGTTTGGGAGGATGGAGAAGGGAGGGGCCAGCCCGGAGAGAAAGGGGCCCGCATGGGGGTGTGGGATGGCCCCCTGGGACAGCTGCGCCACACCCCTCCAGGTGGCCTGACCTCCGATTCAGAGGACAGACCCCAGGGGGGTCTTCGTGCCAGGTGTCAGGGAGACCCCAGCCCTCTTGTCCTCCCTCCCCAGCCGCGCCCCCGAGCCCCTTCTCCCCGGATGCCTCCAGCACCCTCCTGTCGATGCCGGCCGAGTTCTTCCACCCAGCCGTGTCCGCCAGCCAGAAGGGGCAGGAGAAGGGGGCCAGCCCCGGGGCCCTCCCCAAAATTGCACTGCAGGGTTCCTGGGCCTCGCTCCGGTCCCCCAGCGTCAACTGCACCCTCCTCCGGCAGGTATGAACCCCCGGACCCCCACCCCCCAAGGGAACAGTGGCGCTGTGGTGGGAAGGGCCTGGCCTTGGGGCATCGGGGAGCGGGAGGTGTGGGGGTGCAGATGGGGGCTGACGGGGCCAGGAGGGCTCTGGCTGGAACGGGGACGGGGAGGAGGAGGGGGCTGGGGGCTTTGCAGGCTAGAGGGGCGCTGAGGTGGGGACGACGTGGGGGATAGTGGGAGGGCCATCACCTGGGCACCCGGAGAGATTGCTCCCTAGGGAAGTGGGGGTCGGGGTGCTGAAAAGGCAGCGAGGGGTCCAGCATGGGGGTGTGGGGCGGGAGCGGAGGCTTCAGGTCGGGGTCATCCAGCTGCAGCCGCAGAAAGCTACCTTGATGATGCTGGGGCACCCCGGGTTCTGGGTGGTGGGGAGGTGGGTGCACCCCCCTCTCCCCTCCCCCGACGCCCCCTCCGTCCCCGCAGGCCACCGGGAGCGACACCTCGCTGGAGGCCAGCGCCAGCAGCTCGGCGGGCAGCCTGCAGGCCACGCTGGAGGACAGCCTGACGCTGAGCGACAGTCCCCGGCGCGCGCTGGGACCCCCGGCCGGACCCTCGCCGTCGGGGGCGCGGCGGCCCAGCCTGCGGGGCCGCGGGGGCGCGTGCCGGCTGCGGGGTCTGCGCGGCCACCAGCGCAGCTACAGCAGCGGCGGCTCCACCAGCCCGGGGGGCTGCGCGCGCCGCGACTCCCTGGACCCGTCGGACGAGGAGGGCGCGGGCCGCGCGCCGGGGGTCGCCGAGCCCCCCGAGCCGCTCAGCAGCCTGTCGCTCACGTCGCTCTTCTGCCCGGCGCCGCCGCCGCCGCCGCCGCCCCGCAGGGTCAGCAGCAGCGGCCGCCTGGCCCCGGGGCCCCGCGCCGCGCCCACCCTGGCCCGCAGCCCCTCGTGGGCCGCCGCGCGCACCAAGGACCCGGCCCGCGCCGACCCGCCGCCCGGGGGTCCCGGCGAGGGCTGCAGCGGCCGCAGCAAGAGATGAGGCCGGGGGCGCGCGCGCCTCCCACTTGCTTTACCTCAGGAGCCGGGCAGACAGCAATACTCCCCAGCGGCCCGCAGACGTGCACACACACACGGACAGACAGACAGACAGACAGATAGATTTATTTTTCTTACCGAGAGCGTAGTTCTTGCAGAGGTGGGCAGCTGCCGAAGACCCGCCCGGCCGCGGGATGGGTGGGGGGCGGGCTGGTGCAGGCTTCCTTGGGGGGCAGCCAGCCCGACGCAGAGGTGAAATTCAGGGTGCATTTTGGGGTTTCTCCCCCCACCTTTAAAGAAGAAACGCTGCTAAGGCCGGGTGCGCGCTCCCCCCACCCCCCCGCCAGCCCCACGTGTCGGGGTGTCCCCACGTCTGTGTTCCTGACCGTCCCCCCCTGTCCCGAGCAGTGTCCGTAGACGCCCCGGGGTGCCCCCAATGAGCCCGGAGCTAGTCCTCACTCTAGAAAACCCGCAGGCCATCATAGTCCCGTCCAGGGCGGGGTGGGGGGGGTGGTCTCCCGGAGGGCCCTTTGGGGTACCGGGAGGTGTGGGGTGGTGTCGTCATCGGCTGATAGGGGACAGGTCGGAGCTGGAGGTGGCCAGCTTGAGGAGTGAGCAGACCCGGGTAGATTCTAAGCAGGGGTGATGGAGGGGCGGGGGCCAACCCCAAAGTCCCTCAACACCCTTTTGGCCCCACTGGCCCCAGGCCCGTTTCACACCCTGCCCCAACACCCGGCCCCCTGCACCACTTTTCGGAACTGCGTGTGGACACTGGGCCCAGCCACTCACTCACTGGTCTTGGATTTGTTTGGAAAATGCGCTGGGTGGGCCGTGGGTGCCGAGTGCCCGGCCACAGCCAGGCAAGGGGTGTCCAGGTGAGCGTGGATGGAGGGGTGACAATGGTGGGGGGCTCTTGGCCTCGGCCATCAGGGGCCCTGGCTCATTTCGGACCCGCGCCTGAGATCGGTTTGGTAGAACGACCATGGAGGTGTGTGTGTGTGGGGAGGCGCCTGCCCAGGGTTCAAGAGTGCTGGGTTCAGAGGGAGAGCCTCTGCCTGCGGTCCTTCTCCAGAAGGGCGGATGGTGGGGGGAGGGTCCCCTGAAAAGCTGCCTGAATGCGGGGCCCCAGGGGCTCGCTTGGTGGGTTCAGCGTAGAGAGCGTGCAGGTCCCCCCCACCCCCGTTCCTGTGGGTTTCCGTTCTGGGTCTCGTTTGGGGACCCAGGGGCCCACTCAGGCCTGGGGTACATCAGCACGCTGCAGTCGAAGGGGGTGCGAGGTGGACCGTCCAGTGCTCAGCCCAGGATCCCTGACCACAGAGGGCCAGCAGGGACCCCCCACCCCACTGTCTGACACGAAGCCCCCTTCGCCTGGACTGCGTGAGCCCAGAACCAGCAGAAGATGGGGTGGGGGTGCGGGGCAGGGCCCGGGTGGGGCCAGGGGCTCACTCTCAGAGACCCCACCCCCCAATGCTGGTCCCAGGTGCCAGTCTAGTCCTGCCGCCACAAGGGGCTGGGGGCCCCCGGGGAGCCGCGAGGGGCCGGGTGCTCGTCCCCTCTCCCGCAGTCACAAAAGCACAATCTCAGCCCCGCTCCTGGAGCCTGTTCGCAGGGCGCTCGGCCGGGCTGGGTTAGCTCAGAGCCGCCGGGTGCAGCCCCTCCCGGTCACTACTCTCCCTGCCCGGGCCAGGCCTCTGGCCCCTAGCGGAGGAGGAAGCGTGCAGTGTCTCTACCTGTCGACCCCGCCCTTCCCCTGGAACCTTCCGCGTTCAGGACCGCCTGTGGCCCCCTTTGCTGCGCTGTGTAAGGGCTTGGGGTCTTAGAAGCCGCTGTTCCGCCCAGATACACATACTCTTTTTCTTCCTGTCTTTTGTGCAATAATCAGTGTTCCTGGCAGAGCCGGGGAGCTGAGCTGGGGGGCCTCCTCCTCCAGGCAGTCCTCCGCCCGGCCCTGCGCTGTGACTCTTGCACTTCCAGTCGCTGTACAGTTTCTATGGTGTGAATGAGCCCCCCCCTCCATCCTATTCCCCCCCCCCCCCACCCTAGTTGCTGATGTGCTGGTATCTGCCGGCCCAGACCGCCCCGGGGTAGAGAAAACCCGTGTTGTTTTGAATAAAAACCCGGAAACCTATTTCTGAATTCCCCTGTGTGCTCGTGTTCCCTCACGGCGTGGGTGGGGGCGGGATGGGGTCCTAGGGCCTGCACGGTCTGGGCCCTCGAGGGTCCCAAACTGAACTTGGCCTGCTGCCCCTCCCCCCACCAAAGAAAAATATTGCACCCCATCCGGGGGAAATCACTCTTCTGCAGCCAGAAAGCACCCCTCCAAATGTGCCCCCAAGGGTACCTACTGCCCCCAGCTTGGGCCCGGGTCCTGCTCCCTCCCCTGAAATGCCCCCTCCCATTATTGTCCTTTTCTGGGGAAACTGCACCCCGGGGAAGTGTCTAGTCCGGGGCCTTCTCTCGGCTGGACCTGTCAGGGCTGTGGAGTCGGGGTGGGAAGTAGCCCCTAGTTCTAGCTAAGATGCTGCACTGGGCAGAGGCCACTGCAGGGTTGACCTCGCACGGCTGAACGGCTCCCTGGCTTTAGTCTGTGGGTCACTGTCACTGTCCTCCTGTTGTTCATCGATTTGCTCGAGCGGGCCCAGTAACGTCTCGATTGTAAGAGTTGGTTGTTACTGTGTCTGGCACATCGAATACGTCACGGGGAGCTTGCCAGGCTCTGCCGTGCGGGCGAGATACTCTCAGTAGCTTGCCGGGTTCTCCAACAGGGGCAGAGGAATCGAACTCGGGTCGGCCGTGTTGGCCGCATGCAAGGCAAACACCCTACCCGCTGTGCTATTGCTCCAGCCCTGTGGGTATGGCCAGGATTATAGGACATTATAGGTCTGCAAAGGGCAGACCCCCCAATCCCCAACTCAAGTTTAAGGATAAAAGAGCCAAGGGCAGGACCGGAGTGATAGTACAGCGGGTAGGGCGTTTGCCTTGCATGTGGCCAACCCGAGTTCTAATCCCGGCATCCCATATGGTTGCAGGAGTCCCAGCCCTGCCAGGAGTGATTCCTGAGAGCAGAGCCAGGAGTAACCCCTGAGCATCCCTGGGTGAAAAAGCAAAAAAAAAAAAAGCCAAGGACAGGGTGTGAGAGAGAGTGGGGTAGGAGAGAGGAAGAGAGAGAGAGAGAGAGAGAGAGAGAGAGAGAGAGAGAGAGAGAATAAAGGGGAAGGAGGAAATAATTTTGCGGTTTAAGGAGTCAGAGGTGAGGCTGCCTTCAGGCACGGCTGGATCAAGGTCCCCAAGGTCACCAGGACAGATCCTCTACTTCCTTCCTCCGTTGCTTCCCTCCCTGCCTGGACCACACAGGCCTCTGCCCCCAGATGGACACGACCGTCTCTCCTGACAGTTCCTGACAGTCTGACAGAGTCACGGCCGTCTCTCAGCGCTGACTCAGGAACCTGCCAGGGATATGAGCGCTGCTGCCCCCCTCCCCCCCCAGATCCGGAGGGGATGACTCACCTGCCCCGGGCTGTGTGGGGGCAGCCAGACGCCCTCGGTGCGTGTGCCTGGGGCTGGGTGCATGGGTGTGCATGCGTCCCTGTGCGTGCATGTGTGTCCGCGTGCATGTTTGCAGATGTGTGTGTGTGTGTGTGTGTGTGTGTGGTGGGTCTCATCCCTGCCATTGGGATGGCCGAGCTGGGCTCGGGGGCGTGTTGACGGTTGGCTTCATCCAGCTGCGTTTTCGGGGGCCGCCGGGAGCCCCTCTGAAGCCAGTGTCCAGGGCTGGGGCAGAAGCTCAATCCGGGGTCGATGTGCCCATGTGCAGGTCGGGCTCCTGGGCCACTGTCCCCTGTCCTGAGAGGTGACTGCCCCCATTCCCAGCAGCTCCCCGCCCCGACACTGCCCCCTCTCCTCCTGCACACTGCCCCTCCCCCACTGTCCCTCCAGGTGTGTCCTCTCCCCCCCAGTGGGCACACCCAAGACTTCTGAGGTTGTTGGAAGGGGTGAGTCGAAGGCTGAGCCCCCCTCCCCCATTTCTCAAGCTTTGCCTCCTGGGCCTCAGTGGCCCATGGACTGGACCCCAGATCTCACCCCTCGCTTCTCTGGCCAACTTGTGCCCCTTCAGCCCCTGGCTCCAAGGTCACCCTCTCCACGAAGCCCTCCTGGCTAGCCCAAGGCTTTAGTTGTTTTTTTTTTTTTTTTTGCTTTGCTTTTTGGGTCCACCCAGTGATGCACCGAGGATATTCCTGGGATTATTCCTGGCAGTGCTCGGGGAACCCTATTGGATGCTGGGAATCAAACCTGGGTCAGCCGCAGGGAAGGCAAAAGCCCTCCCCGCTGTGCTATCGCTCCAGCCCCTTTAGACGGTTTTTGGCTGGGTCCCCACCAGTCTGAGCACCCCCCTCTCTCTGCTCCTGGGTTTGGGAAGCAAAAGAGAACTTTGGGGACCTTACTCAGCTGCCTGGGGAAACTGAAGCCCTTGGGTGTGGTTCCACAGAGCTGGTGGGGGAGCCTGTCCTGGGCACGACCCCCCCCCCTCCAGTCCAGGGCACCTTGGGGGGCCCCTGGGAAGCTGAGGCCGCTTTATTTTCCTCTCTTTTACCCGTGAATAATGGGATAAAAGCAAGTTGCTGCCAAGGAGAGAGACTGACAGGAAGCAGCCGCCACACGGGGGAGAAAACACACACACACACACACACACACACACACACACACATAGGAAAAAAAAAAAGTCCTGGGAACCTTTTAAGGGAAAGCGCATCTTCAGCCATCAGCACTTTTTATTTCGGCCCGAATTCATGAATTTTAACCAAACGAACACCGGGCGCGCGAGGCCTTGTGCGCGATCATTATACCTGTGAGCGATTATGCAAAACCCCGCTAATGGCAGTGATGGGAATTAGTCCTGGCGGGCTGTGGTGGGGCGCGTGCCACGGTCGCAGCGCCTCCGCCCCCGTCGCTGTGGCTGCCCCTGCCGTTGCCATGGCAACGAGGCTGCCTGGGGAACCTGCGTGCGGGCAGCTGCGTCCCCGTGTCCAGGCTGGGCTGTGCGGGGGGGGGGGGGGGGGGGATGGGGGGGCTGTCCCCAGGGC